ACTAATTTAACTTTTAAAAAAAGTTTTATTTCTTTTTGTCACCTTCTGTACACCTGTGTTTATGTTTGAAATGGATCAGAGATGAGAACCATGTATCAAAAAGAAACAGTAATACTAAGAGCAAAAAGCTTCATGTATAACAACGAACTTTCAAAATCCACTGGAATCTCATGACCCTCCACACTAATTAAGCCTTATGCTTTGATGTTAGCTCAGCTCCAACTATTTTTGAAAAATCCTGCATGCTTTTCATTTCTCAATTATCCATCACAGGATATTCCACACCTTTGTTGGAAGCTACTTTCAGAAGACTAAGAGATCGCTGATCTGGTCCAGAGTGGAAATTCTCATCTTTCCAATTTGCAGTGGTGACCAATACCCACTGTACAATGAATGTAAATGAACATCTGGACTAATAGCAGAAAGAAGGACTGGTGATAAAGTGTGTAGCTTCTTAACCACTACAATTACAGTTAATGAAATATCAATAGACAGAAGCAGATAGTAAAAATACAATTATATACTTTGAATTAACAGTGGGCTTCCCAGTAAAATGGGATGGTATTAGAGCATCCTGTTGGGACAGTTTATTCCATTCATTTGTCTATTTAAAGAAGTCTCCACAGATGCCCAACGTACTCTGGACAACCTTCCCACAATTAACAGTGTTACTATTTTGTCTTTGCTGAGCTTTAGGAAGACAATACCATTTATTTAATGCAGATTAAAATACACATTGATAATGAAGAACAGATTAGTGAAGTCTTATTTAATTACTATTTTCAGTACAGTTCACTATCAATTAATTATATTATCATGTAATAGCTAGCATACATCTTATCCCAATTGGTTAAACAGTTCTGCAACCATACTCCTACTGAAATCCACAGCGAAATTCCTATCGCTCAAAAAATCTTTAATGAAGCCCCTAAGACTCAGGAAAACAAGGCCAGTCATCTGTACTTTATGTTGCTTTGCTAGCATCTATGACTTTAAATGAAGTAAGGCAAAGTTACTTGGTTGTGCATATGGTTTGTCCTACACTTTCAGCTGTGCTATCTGCCATGCAGGAGTGCACTAAAACATGGGTTTGAAGGAGTTTAGCAGATGAATCAGGAAACTCAATTTATGCCATAACTTGGGTGTATTTCCTAGAGAAAAATCCTCAAACTGTAGACATTGTTTTTAACATAGGGACTCTGATGTTTGGAAAAGTGGCAAAAAGTATGCTGGTTATCAAATACATATGACTGCAGCAGACAGAATAACTGAAATCCAGATATGCTAGAGACAACCACTGCTATACAATTTCCATGTTAAAGAATTGCTGAAAAATAAGAATAACCATTTTTCAATAGTACCAATATGCTGGGCTTCAATGGTCAGCTTGACCCCAGAACTTGCCACTATTAAATAAACCAATACCACATAACAGCTTTAAATGCCTGAAGACAAGATCCTCTATACAAATGTGGCTGTCCATATATGAAAGTCTCTAATTAACCTCTGTACACTTCACAACATTCACCTGCATTTTAAAAAAATTGCTGATCTCAAGCATTTGAAGACATTGGAACTGTTTCCTCAGACTGTGTGTGTCTTTCAAGGAATAATACCAAGATGCTGACATTATAACACTATTTGTGGAAAACCCCAGACTCTTCATCATATGCACAGAGCTTAAGTCACGCTTCAGAAATTCTTGAGGTCTGCACTCAGGGTTAGTATGACCTTGTGAGAGAGTCAAGGTTCATTTCTTGATGCAGTTTCCTCCAGTAACTAGTACACAACCTAAAGCATCTATTTCATTGCTTTTATTAGACTCACAAAGCTTATTCACTATGTCCCTGCCCTCTGTCTCACTATTAGTACAAGCGAGACACATCAGCACAATATGCCTCATTAGCCAAGAACCAGTGATTTACAGAACATTCATGTTCTCTGACCACTCTGTGCTCAAGCACACAATAAGTTTCCTGGCTGGAGCAGTTGATCCAGGGATGTGGCTGCTTTAAAGTTAAGGCAGACAGACCTATTCTGTTACGAAGTAATGGAATTTACAGAATACAATTCTGCATGTTGTACAGAGAATGTTTCTGCTTTGCATTCACACACTGTCCTTGTACAGTAATCTCATAGCCCAATGTGTTCTCCAGCGTAACTTCAGAGCACTGCTACTCTATCAAATACCGCATCTCCCAACTTAAGAGTCTTGACTATAAAGATAAGTAAATCTTTTTCTAAATCTTTTAATTCTACATTACTAAAGCTAGCAGACTCTGCTCCTTTAGGTTATTACTGTATAACATTTTATTGTAGCAAAACAAATAAAATAATATTTGCATTTTTAGTAAGTTAATGAAAAGCAAATTACTCTCAAGTAAATAAAGACAATTTTGTTAAATAAATTCCTCCATCAAGTATAAATTTCTGTTTCTCTTGAATGATTACACAATGGTCCATGTAACTAAGATCTACTGAATTTTTCCTCTTTACTTTGTCTTCCATTTTTTTCATACAAGATACTAAAAAATATCCCATTTCAAGTTTTCCTATTCCAAACTAGATTCAAAACGTTTCTCCTTTTGCTTAGCATTAAGCTTCTGGCTTCACAATTAACACACAGATCAAACAGATCTCAGGATGTCACCAAAATGTGTAATGCTACTATAATGCATGTTTAAATTTAGGCATGCAAGTAATCCGATTAAAGCCAGTATCTGCAAAGTCAAGCACATAAGCCAAAGAAAAGGTTCAATATTGTTTCTGTGTTCAGGTTCTCAAGTGCATTCACAGCCACTTCTCTGAAATGTTGTATCATGTGCATTCCATTAAAAAAATACTATCCCAAGATACTAAGTGTGTTGTACAGATATTCCCAAGAGTACCACAGAGAGATGCAGCATAGACTGGTTGTTCACAGTGTGCCTCTCTTCCTAAAACATAAAAAATATCTTAATAGTCCAATGAAGAAAACTTGAATTATAGTTGAATTATAGTGATTACAGTTAAAAGTAGCAATTCTCTTGTTTAACACAATGGTAGATACAAGACATTACTTTCTGCACAAATTTGAATTTGGTATTCTAGCAAATCCTACTGACTCGGTAAGAGTTTTATGCAAGGAAGTATAGAGGGATCCTTCAAACACTTCTGAATTATTAATCAGGCCTGCAAGCACTTGCAAACCTGGGGTCTGAGAATTTGGCCCTTTACTTATTTAGAATAAAAGGAAATTAGATTATGCTGCATTTGTTGAATTTCTAAATCCATTGAGATAATTTATTTGTAATATTTCAAAAGGTTTGGGTTTTTTTAATCATCTCATACCTGCCCAACATTTTTAAATCCTGTCATTCCCATAATGAATTTTAAGTATAGAATTTAAAAGTAGTTTCTGTCAAAATAGCTTACAAAAAGAATCATCATACTTCATGGTCCAAAGCACACAATAACGACTGGTAAAATTATGAAGTACCCTAATTATTGCATTACTCCTATACAAAATCTTTTGAAATACAATAAAGCAGGAACATAATTGATTTTTCTTTTTTTTTTTTGGTTTTCTAATGTCAGAGCAGAATAATGCATTTAATAGATTAGTAGTTTGATACAGAAAAAAAACTCCTATGCAATAACTCAATAGAACGCAACACTGGATTATTAAAATGTGCAAGGTAGACTAATCACAATTTTAAAATTTCCAGCTGAACAAAAAATAAAGTTTGACGCACAGACCTGCTGACTTTTAACTATACTTTAATTCAAATTTGTTTATCTAAATGAAAAACCCACTATCAACACAAACTACACTCACCATAACGGGCTGGGCAAACTCAAAGCATATTTTGAAATGTGGCTGTATATAAAGACAGAAATTTTTTTTCCTAATATTAAAGGAACGGAACTAAACCAACATATTTTAGATTTGACAGGGGAGAGGTTGATAACATGCTAAGTAATTCAGTACCTTCATTCACGTGACCTTAGTCTGACTGCAGTTCCAACTAGCCTATAGCACCTGAATAATTCTTACAAGGGAAAAAACATAAATTAATGTATAGCTCATTAGTTTCCTAATTATTTACCCTTCCTTCGAGACAAATAAAATGGCATCTTTGCAGTTCATTTCTGTGCATAATACTACTGCAAGAAACGTTACCATAGGTCTGCTGAATACAGAGATCAGTATCTTCACCTCTAGATACACCATAGCATCCAACATTGTTTTGACAGCATTTAATATATCTTTTACAATCTAATAAAAGCATCTGCAACAACCTCCCCCCCCACTATTAACTTATATTACAAGACACTGTAATATAAACTTACAGCATTTCTCAACTCTGTAAATAAGTCCGGAATAAGATTCATAAATGTCAGGAACAAAGCCCCCAGATCAAAACAGTAACTTAAAAAGAACCAAACCGAATTATTAGAAGGCTGCAAAGTGCTTTGAAAACATTAAAACCAAAACTCAACTATTGCCCCCAAATTGCTTGCTATGAGTTCTGTTTTTGCACATCCCATCCTGAAGGGCAGACAATGCTACATTTATGACAGTACAATTTCTCAGATATATATATCTTACAGGTTTCCCTCACTTGCATTAAATCCTCCACAGTTTCTCTACATACCCTACTCTAGAAAAATTTAAAAAGTAAAAATAAAAAATAGCATTTTTTCCTACCTGTACATTCAGCTTTATTTATAATGGCTTGAAAGAGAGAAAGACGTAATAGTACAATTGCACCAAACTATCCTACATCCATCTCAGCTGTTCTACTGACAGTATGAGTACCAAAAAAAAGTTACATGAACTTTCACAATTACACATCAATTTTTAGCATTATCACGCAATGACAAAAAAGTTATCAACTTTATATATACAGAAAAAATATTTTTTTAAGAACCACAAAGTTACTAAAAATATATATTATACCATACCTTTTTTTTTTCCCAGAGAGTTGATCTTAACAGGTTATAAAGAAAATTATTTCTTCAGCCACAAGTCTTTGTATTTTATTTTTATTTAAAATAAAAAGTCACACAAATGATAAAATATTTTGTTTTGGCCGTTTGGCTCCCTCCGCCAAATTGACACTTTATAAAAACCTTCTGTACTTTTTTCCCCCTCCCTCTCTCCCTCTCTACTACCTCCAAGATGGTAGGAAAGTTGTTGTTTTGGAGGGCAGAGGAGCCGCTCTCTGATGTTATGTCCTCTCGGTGCCTGTAGTGGTGCTGTAGGAGGCTGCTGGCTCTCTTCTTGAGCAGCCCCAGCAGCCCTGCCTTCTTTGCTGGAGAATATATTCAGGGATTCCCCTTAATAATCACCTACCCTCTGAGCACTTTGTAGTTTTAAAATAATAAAGAGCCCCCAAAGCTTTCTCCCCACAAAAAGCAGGATCTTCTCAGAGACAGGGGGGCAGCAGCTCCTCAGCACAGAGCCCGAGCACATTCCCAGTCCCTCTGCTGGGGAGGAAACTCTGATCTGTCAGCCCAACAGAGGGAAAGGGGGGAGAGGAGAGAGAGGAGGGAAAAAAAAGCAGCTGGAAAGGTAAGCCAGGCCCGGCCTGCATCCCCGGGCTCGCGTAGCGCGGCAGGCGGTGCGGAGGGTGCAGGGCGGGCGGGGAGGTGGGCTACGCGAGGCCGGGGATCGGCCGGGGCGGCGTAGGCCGCGGCGGGGGGTGCGGGGAGCCAGGGGGCTTTTTGAGCCTTTCGGGCGCCGGGAGGAGTGCCGGAGGGTGGTGAGACGGCCGCCGGAGCCCAGCGGGAGGGTCGGGGTGCGGCGCCTTTGCCCGGGAGGTGAAGGGCGGCGGGGTGAACGGGGCGGGGGGGCGCTAGGCCTCGGCGCGGCGCGGCCCGGCCGCTCCGCTCCCCGCCCCGCCGGGCCCCCCGCGCCGGGCCCCGGGCCCAGAGCGGGCCGAGCCCCGCCGCCGCCGGGGCCGGACGGTCGGGGGGAGGCGGCGGGGGCGCCGCGGCCGGGGCTGCTCCCCCCACCCCCCAACACCCCGCGCGGGCCGAGGGGGCCGCGGGACGGGGGGGCTGGGAGCGGCATTAATTTGCCGAAATGACTTTTAATGAGCGGCGGGGGGGGCGCACCCCCTCCCCCAGCCCGATGCGGGGCCGTAGCGGCGGAGGCGGTGCCGGTCCCGCGGGGCTGCGCCGGCCGCGGCCTGGAAAGTTTCGCGGCGTTTTTGGGGTGCCTTGCCCCCCCCCACCGCCGCCGCCCACCCTCCGCCCGCGGCTGCGGGGCCGGTGCCGGCAGGGCGGGGGCACCCCGGGATGTGGCCGCGGCCCCCCCGCCCGTCCTGTGCCCCCTTGCCTCCCCCCCCCTCCGGTGACCCCCTCCGGCCGGGCCGGCGGTGGGCGGATTCGCCGCACAACTTTTTGGGAGGGAGTGGGGGTGCGGAGATGCCCTCGCAGTGCCCCCCCCCACCCTACAAGCTGCCGGAACGTGTGGCCCCGGCCCGGCCCCCGGGGCCGGGGGCGAGGGGCAGGGGGTGTCCCGGCCGCACCTTCGCGCCCCGACACGTGTGGGGCCGGCGGCCGCCCGAGCCCCGCCGGGGCTGGGCAGGGGTCCCTCAGGCACCCGCACTGTCCCGGGACCCGCTGGCGTTATCGGGACATGGGCAGCAGCGCACTGGCCCCTCAGCCTGAGGAGGGAATCTCCTCAGCAGCCCCTACACAACCAGGGCTGTGTCTGGCCGTGAGCCCCGGCCCCTCTCATGTCCCCACTGGGGCACCTCGGCTGTCCCTGTGCGCCGGGGACCCGCTGGGCTTGGGGGGGTGTGTCTCTGTGAGGTGCTGCTGCCCCCCAGGACTGCAAATGAAAGGATCCTTTTTTTCAGGGAAAAGAACGTCTGGTAGTTGTGAAGTGAGTGCACTGGGAGACCCACCAACGCGCTTCACCCCGCACAGGTGAAACAGCTCCGGTTTCTAATGCGGGAGGTGGCGCGTTTTGGTCAAATGTTCCTTAATATGTCTTTTAGCTCAGAATGCTAATGGCTTTGTACAAGTAACCTCAAATGAATTTTAGAAATTGCAGTAACACTCACCTTAAGCCTTATACCATCTGATTAAAATACATAGATCTATAGTTAGTTCTAACTTTGTTACTCAACAACATATGATGAAGGTTTATTTTAAGGCCCTTTTCAGTTTTTGAGGATTGGGAGACTTAAAAATGAAATCGACAAAATTAGGGCAGTGCGTAGGTGAGTGCCCTGTCCTATTGACACACCTGTACAGGCAGTGTTTCATGCTAAGACCATCCCCACCACTGCTGATTGCTGAACTGGAGCGCTTGTGTTTTGTATGAAGCTGTCACTTACAAGCTGGCAATGTTCAGCCTTTTACATGAATTGTTTGTAATATATATGAAGATCAGACAAGTTTTATAAATCGTAAAGCTAAATTATCTCCAGAAGGCCACCCAAAATTTACTTACTGAGAGTTATTTTGATGTTCAGTATTTTTGTGATGAGTGGAATGAATTTGTACGTAGGGCCTGGTCCTACAGAAGTGCATATACTTTGTTCTCACAATATGGTAAATCATCAGGAGGTACAAATTTATTGTAATACTACACTGAAATTCCAATAGCTTATAACTGCTGAAAGACTGCTCTACGAGGAGCTCTACTGCTTTATTTATTGAGTATTCCTTCTGGAGCAAAAATAATATTTCTGTATTGTGTGAAAATAAGCTTGTTTGCCTTCATAGTATTGGGACTAAAAATAAGACTAAGGTATTTTGCTTAACCTCATATTCAAGGGCAGGTTATCTGTTATTTGAATGAATAAAAGACTTGGACTTTTTTTTTGTTCAAGTACAGATGCAAAGGGCGGTATGTTTAATCTCTGCTTTCTTTCAGGACCATGGTTTTGATATTTTGAGATAACATTTTTAAAGTGCATTTCTCCCATGTTGCAATGGCCTAAATATTCCATTTCTTGCTGCATCTGAAGGCTGCCTCTCTGCCTGCTCACCCTAACCCTAACCTGGGCCTGTTTAAAACTGTGTTGAAATAAGTGAGCATCTGTCTGTGAGGATGTGATTGCAGGACTGGGGCCTGAGACCTTCTGCTCAAATAGAGAATTCCTTGTTCAAAGACTTTCAAGATATGGAGCCCGTCTTGAACCTTAGGTCAGGAATACCGATGTCTAGAAAATTTTTTGAAACCTATAGGAATGTGCTCTTGGCAATAGTTATGAATCTTCCTACCTAAGATCTTTTCTCTTTAGAAATCCTTCGAAGTTTCTAAAATTCCTGGGGTCTTAAATATTTGGTTTTAGGCTTTGGGATATCTTTGTCAAGTTTTCTATAAGATACTATTTATCATTAGTGAATCAACTGAAATGAAAAGTTCATTTGTTGTAGGAAAACAAAAAGAAGAACCTGGTCAGTTTGGTAACAAAATGAGTTACTTTTCCACTTCTTAGTTATGTTTTCTCCTGTTGATTTGAACTAATTATAAGTCTCTTAAGTTCTCTAGTGGTTATTACTATTAGGAATAATACTTCAATTCTATATTTATTACATTATATTCTGGAACATAATCTGTATTACCAATGTTGCCTAAAATACTCTACTGCTTTTCTCTTAATATATCTGCAGTATAAACTGCCTTTTTCCAGAGTTGAAATAATAAGCTTTCTAAAAGGCAGAATGAGGGCAATGTTGCTTCTGTCTTCCTAGGTAGATCTTAACATATGAAAAAAGTAGTCCAAAATATGATTCCAGGTGGTAACTAAAAATATCTAGTAAGATCTTAACATGTTGAGTGCCTTGATCTGTCAGGTTACTTGCATGTATGTTGCAGTACCTGCACTTCACAGGTCTTCTTGAGTAAGGATTGTACTCTAGTTAATAAAAGCATTCTGTACAGGAACTCTTGTAGTTGGCTTTAGTTGCTTCCCAGTGTTCTCTGTCTCAGTATGAATGCTTTTACTGACAAAAAGACTCTTGTTTCCAGAATTACAGAAGTCTTGGTTTGGTAGTTGAGTATCGTAGAGAATTGAGCTGTTAAAAGACTAGAACTAAGCCAAAGTTATGGTTAGATCGCAGAAGGGGGACAGAGGTTACAACTTTGTAGTATTGATGTTGATCACAATTAGATGTGATGCAGAACAAAGCACTTCAAAGAGAGGTATTAGTTGCTATGAAACAGAAAAATTAATCTTTCTGCTTTTCTCTTAGAAATGTAATTTTTGCTAATACTGATTGGAAAAGTTTTGCTATAAGTCAGCTTTAAATGCATGTCTTTTTGTCATGAATTTTATGGTCTCTGTACATCTCTGAGTGGATTCCATGTTGCCAAACATCATACACTCTGTGTATTTTCTTAGTCTCAGCAAAAGGATCAGAGAGTGGCAATGCAAGTAATTGTTCCTTCTTGGTCAAGTTTAGGAATTGATAAAACTACCATTTATGCTGTTTGTGTTTGTGGAAAAGCTGAGGTTCTTATAGATCCACGTTCCACTTCTGGCCCCAAGTTAATGGTTTTGGAAGCATATGGAGAGGATTGTAGCTTGTCTATGAGATGCCATGAACACAGCAAGCAATTTAACATGAAATTTGTGCTAATATTAGCAAAAGCAAAGCAACACAGTTAAGACCTCTGTAGTCGTGGCTTTTGTTTGGATGCAGTGTGTGAAGCTCTGAGCTCAGTCCTCTTAATTATACATCTTTTAACCACCAGCATATAATTGCCTTGCAATTTACAATGCTTTTGGGGATTCCATTGCCTAAACGGGTCTTACGTACATTGAATGTTAAGTTCTGAGCATATGTTTAAGAATGTATCAACCCACATGATTTAAAATATTCTAATATTTTCGTCGCAGCATTTGCTTAAAATGACTGATTTGAGTTTTGAGGCTATAATGCTTTGGGCTTTCTCGTAGTGACTAAGCCATTAACTTCAATGCAGACTACAGATGATGTCAGGTACCAGATTTCTGTATGACATAATGCTGGTACTCAGGTATGGTATAGCAAAGATTGCCCCTAGAGTTTTCTGCTACACTGTTTTCTAGGCTCCCTGAAGAACTGTTTAAGTGTTTTGGAAAAGGGTATTTAGAGTGCAGACCTACAACTTTGTTGTCTTGGAGCTGATGTGCACTGCAAGGTAGCTGATTATGCCTGCTTGCTGGTACTAAAAGCAGCTGGGAGCTGGCTTCTTCCAGTGTGTGATAGCAGGTATTGGCAGTTGCACAGGTGTGTACCTGTGTGTATTGAAGTCTTTAATTTCTCTTTTTACGGTCATTTTGCAAACCTCCTTCTGTTTTGTGGACCACTAGTGGCTGCACTCAGCAGGACAAGTAGCTCTTCTCTAAGTGCTGGTGTCTCACAGTGTGGCCTTGCTCTGTGTCCTGCCTGTCCTTGCTGGGGTGCTAAGTTTGTTAGTATTCACATAGGGCTTTAGCCAGAGGGAGGAGATTTTCTTCCAGTCAGCTGCTCAAGAATAAAAAATGGGAGAAGGCGAGAAATTAATGCGTTATGAAATGACAAGTGTTAGTGGTAACCTCGTAAGAACATGAGAAATGCTCTGCTGGATCAGATCGGGTTGAATCCAACCTAATGTTCTCTCTTGGACAGTAGGAATAAGTGATGCTATTTAGGAAGAGCATGAAAGCCCAGCCACTTTTCTTCTCTTACTCCTCTGCCATCCATATTTGTTAAAGTGGTCATGCTAGCAGGTACATTGCTTATGTGCCCATTGTCTACAAACTTTCCTATTGTCTTTTTGAACCTGATGGTACTATCTGCTTCCATAGCCCCCTGTGACAGCAAGTTCCAGCAGTTTAATATGTTTTGAGTCAATCTCTTAGTAACTTCATCAAGCATCTCTAGTTCTAATATTGTGTGATATGGTATATGACCATTCTGTATTCACCTTATTTCCTACCATGATTTTTTAAACCTCAGTCATGTATTACATCATTTGGCAAGGACGCACATTTTTGGATTCTCTTCAGTTCTTTGCCCTGTTGCTTCTAGCTCAAAATCTTTTATTTAGAAGCAGTTGGTTAAGGCATGTCTAGGTTCCTCAAGAAGCAGCCTCTGGTTTCTCATTCATGGGTTGTGGCTAAAGCTAGTTTGAGCACATATGGGCATAACTTATGTTTCTGTTGAACCTTTCTACAGCTTTGGTGTAGAGTATAAGTGCAAATCCGAAACAGCTCCCGGAAAGTTTTGTATCCTGATATTTTTACAGTGAGTACAGCTGCTTAAGCATTTGATTTTTCCAGGGGAAGTCCATGTTTCCGTCATCTCTTACTGAATCCTGTGGGACAAAAATAATTTCTCCCCCACCCACTATTTAGCTAAGTGTAGTTTCAGTTCTCTTCAGTTAAGTGACATGTGCGTATTCCATGTTCGTGCTACTTTTTATGTAGCAGCAAAAAGCTCTGTTAAGAACTCCTGTATATTGTTAAAAATAAAACACTGCATCAGATTAAATCAGAATGAATAGATTTAAATGTCTTCATTATTTTTATATATGTGTGTTTATATATACATAAACACACGCTTACATGATATGCTATGGAAGTAAAAAAAAAAAGCTCTTTTTAGATTAAGTACAACTTCAGTCTCTGATCCTGGCAGTGTATCCGCATAGTGACATGTCTTTTGGGGAGTCTCTGTAGGGATCTACCAATAACGATATAATTGCAAGTTTGGGAAAGTTGCTGTGGATTTTTTTTAATGTAACAATGTCTTCTAGATATATTAGCTTTCTTGTTCATTGCACTGTAGTTGCACTAGTTGATTCCTATCAGGATTTTTAACATGGTTATATTTGCATGAGCTTCTCTTAGTATATGTATCGACCCAAAAATTCATGTTCATGGTCATTGGTTTCCCTGGGGATTATTCTCAGTATTTTTGCTTGAACATTTTATATGGCATTGTAGTTATGCCCTGTATCTTTCAGACAAGTAAGAAGTAAAATACCATGCCTGCCCTAACACAGTCAAGTTAAAGGCAAAAATAAGACATAATTATGAGTTAAATCCAAAATTAAGACTGCAGCCACAAGAATAAATCTAGGATTATAGTGGCTGGGAACTGTGGAGCACTTTCTTTACAGAAGCTTAACAGAGGCACACAAGGTATGCATTTCTTGCTGTTTACTTTGGAACCATCCTGAGGAACTCTTTTTCTTTGGTCTGTTGCTTTGATAATCTTCAGAAAAGAAATATTGCTGGGTTGTGCGAAAGTGAGAAGGTCATTGATCTGTCAGAAACTCTGCAAAGCATGATAGTAGTAGCTTGAATGAAGGTTGTAAATAAACCAGAAAGAAATAGAGAGCAGCGTGTGAATCACCCCAGCTGCAAGATGCACTTGGTCTTTCAAGTTTTACATCCTGTCCGGTACGCCACCAAATGCAAGCTTTGGTTAACTATTGAGAGAAGCAAACTCCAGAGTAAAAGGCTTTCTGTCAGCATTGTTGCATGTGTGAGATGCAATTAGTTAAGACTCATTTGATTACTTTTGCTGCCATAGTAATGAAGAAGTCTGTCTCAATCATGTGGGATCCAAACCTGGATCACAACTCCTGTATGGGTCATGTCCCCATAGCGTTTATGTTTTTCATTCGTGTCATTGCTGAATAATACTGAAGTGTATGTCAGTACCTGCCTGAGCACAGGTGTCTGAAAGGATTATTTGGTCCTTAACATGCTAAAGAAGAGAGAGTTCCCTCTTCCCATTCTGTATTTTTGAAGGGCACAGTCAACAATGAGCTTTCTTGTTCTTGACTGATGTGTTGTGGAAAGACATACTCCAGTGATCGGTTTCAAATATGTATAGTATGTGCTTCCATGCATTGAGAAAAGATGGGAAAGGTGATTGGAACTGGACTAGGTGTCTGTGCTTGTGTTGTGGCTACCTGGTGTAAACAAAGCAGAAGGCCCCTGCCTCTGGGGTGCATGCTTGCATGTGTGCTTGGAAAGGGAAAATGTGTATCAAGAGGAAATACAAAGTTATCCTCATTATTGTCTGAAATGATAAATCAGGTCACTTGTGGTAGTTAAATTTTGTAGCCCATGTCTCCATTCTTTATGCTGTATATGCTGCACGTGCGTGTATACAGCTCTTTCAAGAATTTTTTACCATGTTTCTAAATCTTAAAGTGTCCTTCTGCTTCTACAGCTAGATATATGCTAATGAAAGGCCAGTTTTATGCAGTTTACTCTTAGATGTGTGATAGGGTGTTTTGTTTTGCCCTAGTGACTTAAAGTTGCTTTTCTAGATCCCCCAGAGCCATTGTGTTTGTCATTTTCTCAAGGCACTTTTATACAGCAGAAGGTGAAGGCTTGTACCTTTACAAGAGGAAAGTGCATCTTTCCTACAAAGTCTGTGTAGGCTTCCTCCTTCCAATCGTGTTCTTGCCATTTTGGGCCTTGGGAACGAGTGAGTTCACTGACATGGTATTCTGTACATTTGTCACATGCCTCTAATTTATTATGTATTTCCTGAATATCCCCTCTATGAACATTCCTTTCCTTGGTGTATAACACATATGAAACTGAACTGAGTACTGAATACACCATGTTTAAAAGAGTTCGTTCCAGTGCTTCAGGATGGCCTTTCTGAATAAAGGCTGCCTTAAGCTTAGTGTAGCAGAGTAGCTGCAAAATATATATAATGTTAATTTTATTTGGAGCTACTTTGAGATGGTTTGGGTGTTTTGTTTGTTTGGGTTTTTTTAAAAAAATATGATTGCTGAAGACCTCCATAGTGTTAGGAACTGAAAAAGTACCTTATGATTGCATGGATTTGCACTGTAGGAGTGTATTTTAGGGGGGAAAACCCTCAGCCTCTTGTGGATGTTTCTGCCCTCCTGGCATTGATGGGAGTACAGCCTCTGATATTAATACCTGCTTTCCCTAAAATAAGCGCAGTGAGGTAGGACAAGCACTAAAGAACCGTGATGACCTCAGGAAGGACTGTGTATTGATGCTTGCAGAAACTGTAAGCAGATACAAGAACTAGAGACTGATCATCAAATATGATAAAGGAAGCTTTTTTTAAAAAGAAAACTTTGTTGCACTGACTGATTAAATAATTTTGCAGAGCAAAGACAGTCACTGGTGGTTTTGTAAGTACAGATACTTAAAGTAAAACCTCTGCAGTCAAATGGGTTGATCATCTTTCAACTTGATTTCTGAAAGCAAGTGATCTAATCTGACATTTAACCTTTTTCAACTTGTAGCTTCTAATCTCTTTCTGGTAGATGAGTGAAGTTTTGTTTGGGAGGTTTAAGTGTGGTGGCAGTAGAGTTTTCTTTTCCCCAGTAATTTCCCCCAGTTTTCCAAAGATCTGTAACTACTAATTGAAAACTGTTGGGCTAGTGGATTTGGCTTATTGGATGCTAGCTGAACCACAGGTTTGGTGACTACATCTGCCTACTGAGCACTAGCAATACACGTTTTACTCTGACTGACATTGACCTTTTTGATATTTTCCTTAGACAATCTGCTTCATCTTGGTTCATCATCATTCCAGGATAGTGGTGTCCTTGGGGCTCTCTCTTGACATTGATATGGTACAGAAGATTTAAAATCAGGTATTGTTTTGGGTCCTTCTTTCCTGCCAAAATGGAACATGCAGTCTAGAACTGAATGCATTTCTTCTTTCCTTATGTGATTTGTCTTAACGTTTTGGTTCTTTCAGCTGATGTTCACAAGGAATAGAGTCACGTGATGTATGAAGGCAAACACATACACTTCTCTGAGGTTGACAATAAGCCCTTGTGCTCATATAGCCCCAAACTGTGCAAGCAGAGGCGACTTAACGGCTACGCCTTCTGTATCAGACACGTTCTGGAGGACAAGACTGCCCCCTTCAAGCAATGTGAATATGTGGCCAAGTATAACAGCCAACGCTGCACCAACCCTATCCCCAAATCTGAGGACCGTAGGTGAGTTGTGGTTATCTCTCTGCAAAGTGGGAAGTGGCTGGGATGTTGGCACGAGTTTTCTTTTAAGTTGCTGCTGGCTTCAGGATGAGGGTGGAACTGGCTTGAGCGAATTGTATTCCAGGATGTTCCTTTGAGGATTTTGTTTTAAGACCAGTAAACTTTATTTTATTTTCTGTGGGAGTCAAGTAACTCGGAAGGGGGCAGTAACTTAGTCCCAAGGAAGTTTAAGAGAGAGTTCATTGCTTTTCTCAAATTCACCATAAACTGTGGATCAAACCACAATATCAGCTGTTCTGACTAATTTGCTTTGTCAGTCACAATACCTGCTCTTAAAAAGGCCTGCTTGTTTAGCCAGGAGTGCCAAAAGCACGCTTCCATCTGCTTTTGCAGGACAAACAGTTGAAAATGCATATCTTCTGGGCACAGGGAACAGTGACACATAGAGACAAATCCACAATTACAATTCAGTGTTTGTGATTTGGTACCAATCTGTAGTGTTGTATTACTGGAATAAAATAAATATTACTTGATAACAGATGAACCAGCTGGGAAAGTGCTGTCCACTCCCTTTCTTCTTTGCTTCCCTCCTTTCTCTCACCCTCCTTGCCCAAATGAAGATGCCCAAGGTGTCCAGGTATTAAATGCCTTGCAAGAGATAGTGCTTGAAGTTGTTGAGAACTGGAATTCAAACTAGATTTCCTGAATTGCAGCCCATACTGTAGCCACAAGGGCATTCTTCCTTGCTTTTTAAGGCTTCCTGAACACTAGTCTCATTGGTGCTGCTGGGGCTGAAATAGCAGAATTTGTCTGATCTTGTCTGACAGCTATATATGACTTTATTTCTTTGGAGTTGTCATTGCAAGGTTTGCCAGTAATACAGTATTTAATTAACGTCTGTGTTAACTATGTGAGGCTTGTTCAACTAGAAATGCTTTTTAAACCTAAAATATAAACAAAATATGCCAAAAAAAGTCAAACCACTATTCACTGACCTTTCACATTATTAGCTGCCATTCACTAACCTTTTGCATTATTAGCAGTGTTCCCACTGTGCCCTACAATATAACTTCCTTCTTAGCTCACAGCTCCCTCTCTTGTCTGAAACAACAGTTGGACTGTGCTCTAAATTAACTTGCACTTCACCTGCCATTTCAGTTGAGGAGACTGATGAAGTGAGAAAAAAAACATGAATGTTTGTCAAAAGCTGTAGGGCAAATGCTCAAATGGCACAAGATGAATAACTTTAAGCTGTAATTTGACAGTCGGTGAGTGTTTCTTTGCTACTGTACAATTGAGGCTCTTTGGAAATAAGCTCGCAGGAATGATCATGGAAATGGTTAGCACAAATGGTATGCTGTAATTTCAGATGCAAGAGCTGACTGAGCCAGAGTTGCTGTTTACCAGGGGTCATACTTGAAAACAATAGAAGTAATAGTACTTAATGGCACTTCTTTATGTCTCATATGTTCCCATGGAATTTGCGATTTTTCTTTACACCTTGAATTGAGTTCACACTTTGTTCTTTTTGATTTTTCTCAAGTTAAAGTGAAGTGTGGTCATGACATCTGGTGTATGTTATATTAGAATAATTCAATTGCATGTCGAGTGTCACATTACAGTACTTGAAGAGGACAGCAGGTGTCTGAAGGAGAAAATAAACTTTTAATTTCAAATGAGAGGATGTGATAGTTTGAAAGAATATTTTAAAAGACTGCTTCTCAGGGCAGAGTTTAGTTTTAACAATAAAATTTAATGAATGCTAGTGATAAGACTGTGGCTCCTCTGAACTTTTTTTTTTGGCAGGCAAACCTGTATCTGTTTCTTAGGAGACTTTCTTCACACTCTGTTCAATATAAAGATGTTTGCTGTGTCTGAGTTCTTCACTCATAGCTTTTAATTTTTTGTATACAAAATTACTGTCAGATGGTCATTTTGTCACAGTTTTACACATGTAACTGTACATGATCAGAAGCAGGCTGTATGATGCTCTGACAGCTATCTTCTTTTTATACTTTTAAAGATTATAAAAAAAAAGTCAAGAAGATGCATGCATTATATGCCAAAAGCTTCATAGTCTGTCCACAGATAATTAAAAAGAATTATCACTTGACCCTGACAAATGAGATGCTACCAGCCACAAAGATGTTTAATATTGTGCCACATTATTAGATTTCTTATTAACCGTTAATGTTAATAGATCTACAAATTAGATCTATTAATAGTGTGACTTCAATGCCTTATTTGAAGTCTAGTTTCTCTATTCACTATCTTGGTTTTTTTTAAAGAACATATATATGGGAAGATACAGACATAGATTTTGTATTTGTATTTTCTCTGAATACATCTCCTAATTCTTTCTTAGCCAAATACAGACATACATAATGAAGTTCAACTTAATTTTTAAATATAGGGTTATTACAATTTAGTTGGGTTAAACACCATTTTAAATCTCCTCTTTCAAGACAATCTTTAAATATTTTGTTAATATGCAAGCTGTTCCCCAGTTTATTGGATCTTAAGTACGTGATGGAAATCAATACCAGTCTGGGATGTACTGAGAAGCAGAATGCAACTGTAGGTAGAAAAACTCACTGTCTGAATTCTTGTCCTCCTAGTGGATGAGGGAAACTGTCCAACTGAAGCCTTCAGAGCCCATCACATTTTGTGTGCTTCACATTTTGATAATTTTAATGGATATCAACCCACTGCTCTTACCATATGTGTGGACTTCACTTGATCTCACTTGCACACAAAAAATGCTTTTGGCACTGAGTAGGGAGGGGGACAAAAAATTGTATTAGATACTCAATGTGATACTGTCAGCTGAGAATAACTCACAGACAGGTTACAGAGGTGACAAACTCAGACACTAAGACAGGCATATCAGAATTGGCTGTTATAGGCCCAGCTTGACTCTAATGGGTTTCATGCTCAGAGCTATGTGAAAAGCGTTGTGCTACTTGCAGGTGCTGTGCTAGTCTTCCCAGTAATCTGACTTCCATGGAGCATGAACTATTAATGCAGACTCTGCAGTACTGGATAAAATCAGAGCCAGTTGGGTCCAGGGCCAACTAAAAAGCCATCCTGGAAACTGAAGGATGGGGAACTGGGTGTGCTTGCCCCCCTGGCTCTGTGTGGGACCAGCTAGAGCCTGACAAGGTCAAGGTTGAGTTGGTGCTAATCTACTATGTCTAGCCTAGCCAAAACTGCTTGTGTGTAGTCTTCTTTACCCAGAGGAAATTGAAGTGCCCTTCCTGGCTTCTTCCTGCTCCTGTTAGTCCAAGATGTTACTGTGTCAGTTATGCTGGAAGACAGTTGATAGAGCCTTAAAGCACAGAGCCAAGTCGTTGTATACTGGAGTCTGCAAGTGCATGTGATCTGTATGTTGTAGCCTGACATCTATGGGTTTGTGTCCAGTTGGCTCTCAGTGGTGCAGTATGGTCAGTTTAAGAGCCAAAGCTTTATTCTCTGCCATATAAAAATTATTGTATTAGAGTTAAATGAACAAGCCAAAGCCTGAATAGCCTAAAACTCAGAGAATGTTAGCAAGCTTATTACCTTTTCATAGCTTTATTCACCTTTTCTATTTTTTCTTGTTTGTACAATGAAAACAGACTATCCAGTTTCATATCAGCAAAAGCACAAGATGACAATATTTAAGTTTTGAACAATATAAGAGAAGCATTCACATTGAGCAAAACACTTTTTATTGGCATAAGAGGGAAAAGAATTCCCTGGTGTTTGTTTTGTCTATTGTTTTTTTCTCCTGTCATACTAAAAGTGCTGTTGTAACTGATACCAGTCTTGTTCAAACAAAATATTTTAAAAGTGCATAATTTTAAACATGGAAACAGTGCTTGTTGACTTTAAGGGAAGCTTTATTGAGCCCTCATTATATAATTTTATTTTTAGAAATGTGTCTCTCAGTATGAATTTACAGTATTCTAGTGTGTTCTAATAAGGACTCCACAAATTGCTGGCTTTCAGTTTGCCTCATCTAGCTTTATTTATTACTTACAACATAATATAATCAAGAAATTATTTAGACTGTAATAAGTAGCAGTACTTTTCAAACTTTTCTGATTTGTGAACCCTTATGAGTGTGGAACCCTCAAGAGGCTGTATATATGGAGATCATTAAAGAGCGTATATGAATTTGATTTCTCTTTTTTACCTTTTAAGGACTCTTCAGAAGCTTCTCACACATTGCTTCTTTAGAGATGGGCCAACAGTTTGAAAGTCACTAAGCTGAAGTGTTAAACCTTTTGTGATGTTTGGTTTGGGCTTTTTTTTTTTTCTCCATAAAGACCAGGAATAAATTTTTAACCTATTTGTTCCACAAAACTTACTTTTCTCAGGTTTGTATTGATCAGATTTTAAAGAATACCTTCATGGCTATTTCCTTATTCATAAATACTTGGATGTAGACATCACTTTTTCCTTATATCTTTGTTTTCATCTATAAGCTGCAGGTTATAGATGGGATTCTGCAAGGGCAGAATTCTGATGGCTGGTAGCATTCTACAGAGGCAGGAGTGCCTGCCTGTGGGAAACAGGAAAAGAATCAGATCATGATTCTTACATTTCTATCACCTGCTTGTTTTAATCAGATAAAGGTTAATTTTTTACTTTTTATTATGTTACCTGTGGACATAAATAGTGATTTTTTTTAAAAAACTTCCATGACAAATTCTCAAAAACTTTTTTTAATAACATGGCTTCAAAAGTCTTTCATATTAGAACTTAAAATCTATGTTTGTGGATTGTATGTATACATATTCTTGGCATTGTGTAAATATTTTCTAGCAGGAGAGAATTTGTTTTTATAACTAGATTTTTATTTGCAAATAATGACCCTTTGCAGCAGATATCTAGTGAGATTGTCCTTATAAGAAACTGCTCTCCCTACTACAGTGGAATTCATAATAATAATGTGTGCATTAATGAAAATGTTAACTATTTCCACTGAACAAACAGGCAAATGAAAGGAAGTAGTCTTCAATGTAATATTTCTTGGGAGCTTTTGAAATGATCGGTTAATGGCTTAAGTTCTTAATGTTTTATGTATCAGACAGTCCACTTGTTTTGTTCACTTTGTTTTGTGAGTATTCACCCTATTAGAGAGTTAAGATTTTGAATGATTGTGTGTGAATCTCCTATGACTAATGAATGAAGACTTTTATATTTTAAGATTAGAGATTGTCCCTTGTATAACCTTTTGTTTTCTGTTACATGTTGGGAGCACCACAGTTACCTGTTTTATTATAAGCAGTTGTGTACACTTCTTATAAAACCTCTTGTGTTTCGATTTATATTTGCTTGAGAGGTGTGTTTGGGTTTCCTTTAAGTGATGCCTTTTCTTCATATTTTACTTATAGGAGTTTAGTTAATAATCGACTGCTTTTATTTTTCAAAGGTACTGCAACAGCCACCTGCAGGTACTTGGCTTTATACCGAAAAAGGAGAGGAAGAAAAAGAATGATCCCATAGAGGAGGTGAAGGTCAGGCATCAGATGGATGCTATGGCCTTCAGTCTGACAGTGCCCACCCTGGCCTTGAAGATGCCCAATGGACTGGATGGGATGTCCCTCTCCCCTCCAGGGGCAAGGCTTCCTCTCCACTACCTGGAGGCAGAATTAGAAGACCCCTTTGCTTTCAATGAGGAGGATGATGACCTAAAGAAAGGGGCAACAGTGAGGAAAAAGTTGCAGAGCAAGTTGGCTCAAAACCGGCAGCGCCAGAGAGAGACAGAGATTTTAAAAGTTCGCCAAGAGCACTTTAGCCCCATTCCTGCACCTTTGCAGCAGCAGCCTCTGCAGCAGCAGCACTCCCATCTGCCACCTTCATCAGCTTCGTTAAAGCCGACAGGGCTACCGCAGGGCATCGTCTGCAAGTCACCTCAACCTCTGAACACCAGCCTACCAATGCAGGGAGTGGCACCCACCACACACACTATAGCACAAGCCCGGCAGTTGTCTAACAAGAGACCTCTGCCTCTCCTGCCACCCGCCAGGGCTCCTGTCACGGACCCACCAAGGACTGATCGGGTCCTCATGAAAGCCACAGCCTTCTCTCCGCACTCGTCCTGCATGAGCCGGCTACAGAGACTGGTGAAACTGTGCACTCGAAAACAGCAGCTGGACACTGATCTGTTTCCTCATTTAGGTGAGCAGATAATAGAGGCACCGCAGCCTTATTTTTTAACCTAATACCAAAAAAGGGGAAGGTCTTCTAGCCCTGTCCTGCATTCGTGTGCGGTCCTCACAAAATGACCTTGAGCTAGGTAATCTTGGTGTTTTCTTTAGCTCTGTTCTCTATGAAGGGAATGCCTGCATCCATCATATATGGTTTATGGCATTTTGGTTGGTTTTTATTCTTAATGTTCTGTTAGCCATTTGAAAAGTGAAACTGAGGTGTAGAAAACATTGTTTGGATGACAGAGACATCATATAGAAGGTTTGAAACTCAAGTAGTAAAGGTGACACTAGCTGTACCTACATGAGTGGACAAAGTTAGATTAAATATTAGATGTGTGACATGTGCACATTACAAAATGAATGCAAGTAGAAGTTTGGAGATTTGGCCTGTCGTTCTCTGCAATCCAAATTTCCAGCTGACTTGATTGGAAAATTATAGCACAAGAGAGTTTTTCTTGACTGGGCCTATTAGTTTATAGAAAGTGGATGAACAAAAAAAAGACCACTGCAGGAGAGCATCACTGTTGCAGAAGGTAATTGGAGGGTGGAGTCTTGTCCACATATCAGTGCAGGGATAGTCTTACTCTTACTTATTATCTAGAAACCATAATTCAATAGCTGCTTGTGAAAGTGTAAGCAAATACAACCAACTTGCTGGTATGGTAGTAGTGCTCTTTGAGGCTTTGAAAAGGCAACTGACCTTGTGATTTATTTGTCTGATGGTGAATACAGACCCAGGCACACCGATCTGCCCTTTTTGTCTTCCTCACCCACCAAAGTTACTTTTTGGCTTAGTTTTAGATTGTACTTTTCTAACAATTAAAATACTAAAAGGGAAATGGAAATGTGAGTCAGTGTGTGATATTAGAGCAGGAACACTATTTATGATGTTTTTTTAAAAAAAGACTTCAAATAAATCTAGACATTCTTCATATAGTGTCTTATTTAATTGGAAACATCTGTAATTTTTGCTATTTCAATTAACCTTTCCTTAATTTGCTGTTAAGATCTGCCCTTTGGCACTCATGGGATAGCTTGACTATTTGTTCAGAAGATAATTAGCATACCCATAGCATGTCTCCAAAGGATGTTGTTCTTCAGAAAACAGCTTTGATGGTCCTATATATAATGCAGGTCTTTAGAGGAATGGCAGCTCCAGAGGCTTTTCTGAGTGTTACAGACCCCAATAGCTTCGAAAGTGACCTGTGTTTGAAAGACTGTAGAAAGATCTTTTCTGTATTTAATGTTTTACATTCTCAAGTGGTGAAGAGAATACATTTTACTAAAAAAGAGGCATAGTAAAAAAACCAGTTAGACCTATACATGTACAGTTATGCAGATGCATAACTGTATGTGTATGCATTTAGAACAGTTTATATTTGGCAAAGTAAAAGAATTCACATATAAGTTACATGAGAGTGGAAAATATATTTGGGTTTTATTCATTATATGTCTTAATATTAAAGACTAGTTATGCCAGTTCAGGGAACTTCAGGATTTCTTTTTTATGATAGAGTAGCAGTAGAGATGACTGCACAGAATCTTTAAAAGATTAAGCCAGTTTTATGTGTACCTACATCAGAGCTGTGTAATTGGATATTAATGTAACTGCAGTCTTCAGTGTCAGTATAGTGAATCTGGATTAGATTTTATTCCTTCATTTCTGCAGTGCCCATTAGAAGCAAAACAACACAACTTCTGATTTTGTTTTTAAACTTTGGATAAACAATTTGTTACATGGTTGTCAGTTGGGGACATCTTTATCAAATGATGATTGTTTTTTCCATTCCTTTATGAAAGGGGCATGAGGAAAAAGAACCACTTACCTTGAAAGTATAATTCTGACATCTCATTAAATTTCTTAATATATCTTAATTTTGTTCAAATGCATGTCTTAAAAAATAAAAGGACACTGAAGTTCCTGAAAAATTTGGTTTCTGATGTTTGTGGTTCATGTTAAAGTGTTGCTTCTATATGATGAAGATGCTCCTAACGATTGCATTCCAAGCATAGCTGTGCCTGTCTCTAACTGTGAAAGTAGGTGACCAAGTACTGATGCGTTTCCCAAATTCAAAGCATCTGACTTCAGGATCATCTCAGATATAGTTGTTTAGTTTATTTTTAACAAAAATAAAATGCTCCCTAACTCTTATCCCAACTGCTGCTCCATTTTCAAGGAGCAGAGAAGAAAGAGAAAAAGAAAAAATGCTGGCTGCAAGAAAGTGGCAAGAATTTCACTGGATGTGGGAGAGAGGGTAGGAAAAGCTGTGAAAGATGAAGTTCTAGACAGAATGTTTCACCTGAGAACTTACTGGCCTCTTTCTGGTTGTCATGCTCAACAGTTGTGTGTGGATTGACTAACTGAGGCTGCTGGTGCACACAATACTGCATCATCATTAAATGAAAACGTGCTGCTTGGTAAAAGTGCAGGAGTGTTCGTGTCTCTCCCTTTAGCTCTCTCTTCATGCATTTGGCCAGCAGTGACAGGAACTGAGCAGAGGAACACGCCGTGTAGCTGTGTATCTATCTCTGTCCGTGATGCTGTGTCTTGTGATTTTCATATTCTTCTCTGTGTTAGGGCACAGTGAAGGGGTCAGAATATAAACAGAAATGAAATTGGCCTATTTAGATCATACAGTATTAAAATTTACCAGGTAGTCAGTTCTTTGTGACAGGGACTTCTCCCTTACCTTGTCTCTAAAGTTCCCATGTGCTTGGTTATGAAAACTGTAATATTTTTCTGTGGGTAAGAAAGCTGGTGATTTTTCTTCCACTGTTTATGGATAAAGAAGCCAGTAAGGATTTAAAAAAAAACAACCCTTGCTTATGACAAAAATCAGTGCATGGTATTTTCACGTTGCAATGGAGCCGCTACTGTAACTTTTCCTGTGTGAGAATATTATATAATTTAATCAAACATAATTATGCTTGTAACTATACTACACATTCACCTCTTTGCCACAGGTTGCCCAGAGGCTTATATAAGGTGGATACTCTTTTCATCCAGCTTTCATGTTTTCAATTCCCTTAGGGCTGGATTGGTCTGAAGACAGTGGAGAAGAGTTGGAGGATTCAGAGCAAACCTCCCCTTACCAGGTTGCATGGTCTATCCGAGAAAGCCTCGGCTATGAGAGACCTGAGTGAGTATCATTCTTTAGTATTCATGCTGACCTTGATGGAATAAATCATGTAAATGTGAGTTTCACTTCAAGTGGAGTCAGTGGAACCTAAGCACTTGTTCAAGTGCTTTGCTGAAACAAAGGATTGTTTGAACTCATTTGTCTCTAAGAGCTATGAAACAGCTTGTTGCCTTCTGTCCCAGTTTTCAGCTAACTTAGAGACCTTTGTGCAGTCTGCTATCAGAAGGATGCATCAGGAAAGGATTTAAGCTTGTTTGTCTAAATTTAATTGAGTTTAGTGGGATTTATTAATTAACTCGTGTGCCTTGCTGAGTGGAGGTCCTGAATTATAACCAAATGGAGTTGGTATGGTTTCTTGTCTTTCCTACTGTTTGTGAATAACTTTGTTAGTAAACTTGCTACATTTCACTCATTAATCCTTATAGTATTTGTGCAGGCTGTTGTTTTAATGTGTTTTTTTAAAGGCCATGGTATTTCTTTTCTTAATTAAGTGTTGAATAACCCTCTGTCAATACTTGTGAGCATTGAAAGGAAGTGATGTGATCAAAGGGATAAGCAGAGCAGGTATTAGCTGCTGGTGCAGAAAGGCTTATGATGTTCTCTATGTACTGCTAAGCCATGAATCTGAACTTACAGCAGGATATGATAATATATGTCTATTAATGTAAATTTTAAAGTGCAAAGTTAAAACAAAGCATCCTGAGCATAGTATTGTAACAAAGAATGTTTTTAACAAAGAAATTGGAGTCTCAATAGAATTTGAGTATAATTTCTATAACGTGATTCTCATTTACTATGCAACTGGCCTATTGGTATTATAACTTTCCCCCATTCGTTTAATTTTTAAATATAACACTTAGAATAATCGTGTTAATGAAACTTTATTTTGTTATTACATGGAAATTCTGAAACTTACTAAAACTTCTTGCCTTCTCTAAAGATTATCCTCAAAGTGAACAATAAAGCTATATCTGTCATCAGGACACACCCCAGGATGCTAAATACTAAGAGTCTTCAGTGAATCAAAGCTAATAAACAGTGTGTGGGCTTTTCTTTTATAAAATAAAGGGGGTTTTTTTTGTTATGAATGGCCATCGTTTTTTAGGGCATCCGCAGTCAGAGAATGAGCTTTCACAAACAGTTTTAGCTTAAAAGACAGCTTTTAAATAAACTCTTTTGGGAAAACATGAACAGACTTCAGAATTTTAAATCATACATATTTTTTCACAGCAGATATATCTATTAAATAACTTCCCTTACACTATTCTCTCTCTGACATTTGATTTTATTCTTCCATATATCCCTATTTTTTTGTCAACTTATAAAGGTCATCTCTGTGTGTTTTGTCTTCTATTTGTCTTAACTTCCTTTGGATTCTTCCTACTCTTTTCACATACTGAGAGAAAAATAGTACCTTGTCTTGACATTTTCTGTTCCGTTCTAGCATTTTGTGCACCTCAGTTAAATGCTGTCTTAACTAATCATGATGGATAAAATTTTGTATGCTATTGACTGCTTTTGTACTTCCATCAGCCTGCCCAGTGTTAGCCATTCAACAACCTTACTAATTTTGATTATGGATAAATATTCGCTTGATGTAAGCCTTCTAAAACTTTAAATCCTATTCTGCAAGCTTCTGTAGAGGTTTTTATTACCTGAAATGTTTTAATTTGACACTTCTGCAATGTGATCTGTCTGCTGCTGAAGGTGATGAATTAGTTCAAACTATGTCTGGGGAGATTTGATTTGTCAAAATAACTCTGTCTTGCTAATCTGGCAGTGCAGACTCGTGGCTCCTAACTTAGTCAGCCAGTGACTTGTTACAGCTCTGAATTTTGGAGACTTATTTTACCAGAAAACCAATGGAGATTGTTTCTTAAAACTTTTACTTTCTGAAATCACATCTTTTATGTTACGGGATTTAATTGCTGGTTTTTACAGTAAAATGAAGGCTATTTTTTCTCTGTTCATTTGTGTCTGAGCTTGTGGTCCCATCAGCTAACTTCATTCTGTCCTTTTCCATTCAACTTCCTGGAAGACAGTGGAAGGGATGCTTCTCAGAATAGACTGTTGAAAGGAAGTGAACAGTTAATTTCTGCTTTCCTGGACAGCTGGTTCTCAGCATTTCTGCTTATGTGATTGTGGGGGGAATGCTCTAACTTTCAGTTGAACTTCTTGTGTGACACTCCAGCTGCTCTTAAACTCTCAGAAATTCACCAGATTCGTTTAAAGTTAATGTATTAACAGTGTCTGGTGTTAGCTGGGATAGTGCTTGATTTGTCTTACTAGCTGATACAGTGCTGTGTTTTGGGTTTAGGATGAGAATAATGTTGATAACACCCTGATGGATTGATTGTTGCTAAGTAGTGCTTACCCTAAGTCAAGGACACTTTGGTTTGCCATGATCTGCCAGAGAGGAGGTGCACCAGAGGGAGTGCAGAGGTGCAGTGAGGGAGCACAGCTGGTACAGCTGACCTGAACTGCCCAGAGGGATACTCCATACCTCGTGATCAGTATATAAACTGGGGGGAGTTGTTGGGGAGGAACTGAGCACTGCTCAGGGGTGGGCTGAGCATCGTTCAGTGGGTGATGAGCAGTAGTATAGGACATCACTTGTTTTTCTTGGGTTTTATTTTTTTTCCCTCCCATTACAGTAAATAGTAGCAGTATATTTTACTTTTTTTTCCATTATTAAACTGTTCTTAGTTCAACCCACAAGATGTTTTCTTTTCTGATTCCCCTCCCCATCCCACTGGTGGGAGCAGGGAGAGTGAGGACGCAGCTGCCTGGTACTTAGCTGCTGGATGGGGTTAAACCACGACAACACTAATATATTTTTTTGGTTCACTTGCCTTCTGGCCTTTTAATCTGTAAAATTCATATTGTTGCAATCACCTGTGGAAATGCAGGCCAAATGTTTGCTTTTATTATTCTGTGCTTTAATTTTGAAAAACCGTGTTCCTGTGCTCCCAGGATTCTGGGATGCAGTGCTTTGAGGCAGGCACAAATGTTTGAGTTCAAATAGTAGCACAGGAGTTCGTAGTGGGCACAGTGCAGGCCGGGTGGCTGGCAGAGAAGGCTGCTGAGGTGGGAGGAATCCCTTATGGGAGCAGCAGTTTGGAGAGAAAGCATGGGCTGTTCCCTGCTGCAGATTAGTGAAGCTTTCTCCTAGATTATTTGATTTCTGGGTTTGGTAGCTTGGAAGGTACTGGAAAACAAGTGACTTTATAACAAAGTGGTTTTTCACTTTGTACACTGAAATACAGATAAAGCAAGCGTTTCAAGTAGCAAGTTTGAAAAAGGAGTGTGAGTCCCTCCTCATACTACCCCACTCAAAGGAGCAAATATCAACACTGTATTGTGAAAGTCGGATTTAATAACTCACATTAACTAGAATAACTCAAAGAAAGAAGGGAAGGTTCTTCAAAACTTCTCTGTAAGGAGGGATTTGAAGTATAGTTGTTTGGGTATCTCAGAATAGAGAGAATGTTCTCCTTGTTCCCTGGTGGTGCCTGACTGCTCGTGCTACCCTTTTGCTCTTCCTTTCTGCTGCTTTGTGCTGTCTTTGTTTTCTTCATGAACACTCAGCAATAGTTCCCCTGATGTTCACACATGACAATCTGAAAGGGAAGAACCATTTTGGACTATCAAATGGCTTGCGTGCACTTTCAGAAATCTTTTTAAAAATTAAATGCCACGCATTAAGTTGAACTTCAGAAACTCTATATGCAGTTTAAGACAATAAACTAAATAGAAGTTGGTAATCTTGTTTATGAAAGGACAATAATAAAAGTACCTTTCGTTTTCAGTACTTGACTACTGAAAAAATAAAAATAGGTTTTATTTTGGTATTTTTAGGTTTCTCTGAACATATAAACATTTTGGTTAATCTTACTGGCCTGAAAACAAAATTCTGAATAGGTTTTTAGAAACTGTTTGGCTCAAAATAAGCCCTTGCCCACTGCAGGCATGATTTCTTTCTACTTCTTCCTCTTTTTAAAAAGGATCTCATAAACTGCATTTCAAAAATATTTCAGTGTACAGTGACCTTTTTTCTGACTCTTTCAATGTGAAGGAAGTAAAAAGTCTTAAATATAGAGAAATTTACATTAAAAAATGCTGTTTCCACTTTTTTTTCCCCCAAAGAAAAAGTATTTTCTAATTTTTAACCATATTTAAAATTAAATCAGTATATCTGCCACTTTGTTTAAGTGTCTTGGCCCAGAGCAGTAATGAAATATATACAGATGTTAAACCTATCTATAAATATATATGCCATCCATTTATTCCCATTTTTTATTAATACATTGGAAGAAGGAAAATCTATATTAAATAGCCCGCAATTAATTTTTTCTAAACAGGTAGTTTTTCCCAGTAAACATTCTTTCCTAAGAGATCTTAAAAGTGTATTTTCTTTTAATTTTCAGTGTAAAAGTATTTTAAACATTACATATGTTAAATGTTTTTAACAGGTTGTATTTACTGCAAAGCATGTAATTGCATAGGTTAATTACTTGTAATTTATGCTTCTAGAAAATAATAATAATCTGATTTAACAAACAAAATACATGGAATGGTTGACTTTACATAAAACTTCATAAAAACGTGCATTTGTGTCAAGGCAGTGTTTGCTGCTGCAGAGTTTTTGTGGACAGCCCTAGTGGAGATGGCTGCAGTCTCTTAAATTTGGCCTGCATATAAATAGAGTCAGAGTTTCCAGAAAGGAAAGTAGGTCCTTGTCATATGGCTTTTCAGGGACCGGTCTTGTGTCTGCATTTCTGGATCTTACTGTATTTAGTAAATATCATGGCTGGTATTTCAGATCTCTTCTATTTCAGCTAGTTCTGGTCTGCTTTGCTGTGTGCAGGTTTGGGGGTCAGCTCATTCAGTCTTGCCAAGCTCTGCAGTCTGAACCTTGTGAGCTTTTGATTTGCTTCATTTGCTTGGATTTCTCTACTTTCCCCTGCCCGCCCTCTGTGTTACAGATAGGAAAGTTAGCATAAAGTCTCTCTGTTCTATAGGAAAAACTTAAAGTTAAAACTGAACAAAGCCTACTTTTCTTAGATTCAACACGTGCACTTTGTTGCTTCGTGAACAAAAAACTCATTCTGCAAACTAGAGCTTGTTGTGGAGGACTTCTGAGTAACTTCATGGACCTTGTTGTTTTAGCAAATTCCAGTGATGATTTTCTGTTTCATGACTTTTACTTCATTTAACTGAATGTGTTGACATGGTTTGATGGTCTTGTTGATATGTGCCTAGGTGTTCAGAAAGCCAAGATAAATGGGAAAAGGCTTTTTAAAGCAAACAAAGAATTGGATTTGTCCTTCATCTGGTCATTGCTTAGCCCTGGTCTGATTTTTCCATCACTACCTTTGGAGTTAAATGTGAATTTCTTCTTTACTACTTACAGTAACTCAACTTTAACTCTGCAGCAAGGAGAAATCAGTATCAGCTGTTAGCTGTGTTAGTTTGTAATTTGGTTTAGAAAGCAATACACCACCTGGCAGAGTAAAAGGAATTGGAAAAAGTCAGCGGTTTTGGTACTTGTTAGAATTTGACCATCTTTTCCAGCATGACCTTTCCTCAATAAATTTCCACTACACAGTTCTCCACCCTTGTCCTCTCCATTAATTGCACTTTGATTTAAGCGTTTGTCTCATTTGCCAAGACATTTACAGTAAATAAAGGTTAACAGTATAGATTTTTTTGAACAGCAGGCTCTAGACATTTAAATGTGTCAGATTTGATGATAAATTGATGTAATCTCTAATAATGACATACTAAGAAGGGCAAGTACCTTTAGAATTTAAAAGGGATCCCGCTCTTACTATTTCTCAAGCATCCCTTGCCTGATTTCAGTCTTTGGATGTTTGTGTGGCTAGAAGATGGATGCCAACTTAACAATTCTATTAAAGTGACAAAATAGCTTCCGTGGAAAAAAAGGAGTAACTTAAAGCCCATTTGTTTTTATTTTCCCTCCTTCAGGTCCGATGATGACAATGCAGATGACAGGAGTTCCAGGGTGACCAGACTTTGCACTTACTTTCAGCAGAAATACAAGCACCTCTGCCGCCTGGAGCGGGCAGAATCCCGTCAGAAGAAATGCCGGCATACGCTCCGGAAAGCCTTGCTGCAGGCGGCCAGCAGAGAGCCGGAGCGTGCTGGGCAGCTCATACAAGAACTCCGAAGAGCTACATGTGCTTGTACCAGGTTAGACCTTCCCTTGTGACTGCAGTAACCTGGGGTTGGGACAGGGTGGAGCTGGGCTGAGCATCCAGCAGCTGAAATGCTGAACTCTGAAACAGGGAGTAATGCACAAGGCGGAAAACCACGACACGTGAATGCCTGTCAGTGGAGTAAAATAAACATGGCATACAGAGTCTTCCATGAAGACGGGCCTTCTCCAGCTTTATGTTTTAAAATATGGATTGTTTGTCCAGCAGTAACTGGGCCCAATTTCTTAAATGTCACAAAAGAAATTAGTGGCCTGCTAGAATTTATTCTTACTAATTAATCTTTGTATTTTGGCTTCCTTCAAATACCTGGTACTTTACTATGCCATTTCTTTAGAAAGTGTGCAGTCTGGTCTGTAGTTCACTGCTTCAATTCAGATTTTGTTTTTCAGATAGCTTCTTTTGAAAAGTCTGTAGGTAACCTCCTCTTAATTATCTTCCCAGCAAATCAAATTTAAGCTCATGCTTTTTGTTAGATTTAACTCAATCTAACATTAAATGAAACTTGGCAACAAAATAAATATCTTCTAACAACTCCAAAGGTTACCTTCTGTGGGAATTCTTTCTAGATAATGTCAACATCCCTCCAGCTCTCAGCATATGGAGAGTTGGTTAATTCATATTTGTGCAGGAACAGACTAAGTCTGAACCCTGGTGTTATGTCTGGGGTATCAGCAGCATCCTTTTGCTGTTGCAGTTTGGCTTTACAGGATGTGCTACTGTGGGGTGTAATGGATAAAATATGAGATGCAGGCTGGAGCAAGTTACTGAGAGTATGGTTCATGGGATGCATTTGTTCCTGGGCAGTGGGCTGTGGTTCATGACAGTTGGAGGGTTTATTGTTGGGGAGGTGGAGTGGTGCTGAAGAGCTGCTCAGAGATGTAACATAGAAGTCCATTACTAGTTTAAAAAGTTGTGGAAATTTCTCCAAACTTAAACTACAGCAAAACTTCGCCAGAACTGACAAGCTCTTGCTGGTTTTTCCCCCATTATTTTTGCCTTCTATTACGCAAAAAAAAGATTATGTTGTTTTGGGTAGACCAGCAAAGCCAGGTGTGCCTGTCATCATTGCTCTGGTTAATTTAAGTAACCAGAGAGTCTTTTCAGTTATGACATTTTTCTCAGGAGTAATACTGCTAACTAAAACTTTGCTCAGTCAAAGTGCAATTGATGACAGAACTGGCCGAAGAAAAACAGTCAGGCTACAGACAGCTTTTTGTCAACCTAGAAAACAACGTGTACAGAGGTGAAAGCCAGCCCTGGAATCGCCAGCTTTCCACTGAAGGTGACACATGCCTCGAGTGCAGGCTAACACCAGGCGAGCTGTGTAACACTTGCGGTGCTCGTCCACACTGCTGCCTGGTCGCCTGCTTGCAGCTCAGGCTCAAAGCATAGAGGCTGTGCTGAGGGAGTGCCCAGCTCCGGGCACCTGCTGGTGGATTGGGCTGTAGCACGTTGATGAAGGAGAGCTTTTATCCATGTTGAGCACGCTCAGGCTCTGCCACTCCAGAGCTCAGTCTAAGTTTGTCTGAGCACATGCTTGCATGTAAGCTCTGGGGATGCTCGGCATGTTTTGATTTATGAACAGGCTTGGAAGTGCACCTGACTGCCCACATAGGCATACCCAATACATTGTATTCTAAAGACTGACCTCCTTTTGAGAGTCACTGTGTTGACACTCAATTACTGCTGCCCTTGGCTCTGTTGCAGGGTGTTGTAATATTTACACGGTAGCAGCACACAGCACCTCTCATTACAATTAAGGCCCTGTGAAATAAACGAGAATCCTGTTACTGCAGTCACACCTTCACCTGTCATTGACATCTATTCTGTGTCCCTGTGTAGAGTCTGGTAGTAGCCTGCACCCCATCTGGATCATGACACACACATGTGTGTGATAATTTTCCATCCTACTGTGCCACGTTCAGTGCAATAATTGTGTTAAGTAACCACCCAAAACTGGGGCTTTGTCTCTAAATTCTTTTATGTTTTCTTTTCAGTACAAGCCAAGTGAGGCAGAGAGATGCAGAACCAACAACCTGCAGCGGGACTTCGAAGGGAGAGCAGTGCACTAACAAGGCCCTTCCATTCACCAGGCACTGTTTTCAGCGTATCCTCTTAACTCTTTGGGAGTTGCATTCAGGCGTGGAAGTTCTGTTTTAGGGTTTTTTTGTTTGTTTGTTAGATTTTTGCATTGACAAATAAGTTTTCACAAAGAAATACCTATTTGTTAGTGTGTCATAACTACTTTGCTTTTAACTTCTCTGGGTGATTTGGGTCTATAGACAGTGAAGATACGTAGTTTGCTACTGGTATCTATTATAGTAACATCATTTTACTTTGTAATCTGTGTTTGGTAGATGCAAGAAACCTGTACAAAATTATCATCTTTCACGATGACTTGGTACAAACCATGTGGCTTTCAGCTTCTTGGTTTTCATGCAGTTCTTGGTAGGTTCCAATAGACTATCTTCCTATGACAGTGTTATTGGAACAGATTTTTATACACAGTATAAAAAGATGGCTTACACTGACTAGAAAGATGGAAATCATACTTTGCATTGTTCAAAGCAGCAGAATAGAGGTCACAGAACCTCATAGTCTAGATGAGGAAGGATTCCCAGTGCTTGGAATTTCAAGCAAAGCTTGAAAAGGACGTTAAGAGTCAATGGATAAAGATCACAGAAAGAAGAGAGCACATTAGAAGTGAGGTTTTGTTCTGAAGACTATAAACAGACAGACTTATGACGTGTAATACTTTATCTTTTTTGGTTTTAGCTGAAGAATTATTGGTGCTTTTTTTGAAGTGACTTCTTTTGTTGAAGCTTTTCGTTTTGGTATTTTAAGTGACTAGTGCTGATCTGTTCTAGTTACTATCAGACTGCAGCACCTTTTCAATCTTTTTGTTTTGCTGATGCCTTGTTTTTCTTGGTTGACTTTTTGCAGGCCCCTTAAAAGTGGTCTGCAGACCAGTTCAAAATCTCTGTATGAGAGAGCACCATGGTGTGCAGTTGTCTTTGGGATTTGCCTCATGATTCGAATGTTTTTGGTTTTTTTTTTTTAAGTTTAAGTGGTCTTGCTTGGTGTGTGTAAAGCAGAGAAGTCAAGGGTAGTGATTTTGCATTTATGCCCATTTTTTTCTCTCTGCATTTTCTTCTCAGTGGAAAGAGTTTCTTTTAAAATGAACAGGCTCTTGGTTCTGACCCATCTGTCCAAGTCTGTTATCTGGACTGTTCAGCAGGTTTTTCATTTTCTTTGTCCTTTTTTTTGTGTTTGTGTTTTAACATTTTATGAACATACGTAGTGATGTTGAAGTCTGACAACTGTTCAAGATGGAAGGAGTTCTTCTAATGTTGTTAGAAAAAACCACAATGAGATATCTGTTTGATTTGCTCTAAGTCTAGAAGCATTTTCACTCCTGCAAGGGTTTTTTCTGAAGGAAATCTCAGCAAGCTTACGTTTAGATTTATTTGACCTTTCCGTCTGATTGCACATCTTTTTTTCAGAGGAGCAGGAAGGATCTTGAAACTTCTTTTTCTGTGCTCTAAAGATAAATGCCAAGAATGTACCTTAAAAGATTGAATTAAGAAATACTCTTTCTTTAATGTTTCAGTATGGATTGTCATTAGTCTGTAAGGAAATAGTCCTGTTGACTACACTGTTCCAACTACTACTATTGATCTATTGATTAAGACTCCAGGAAAAGGCTTCTTTTCGCTAAGAACTCATTAGTGAAATGCCTGCTTTTATAAAACTATCTCAGCATATAATAAAATCATTAGAGAGTCTGCATGAATGCAGTTTTTTCACCTTAAAAGTTGGGTTTGAACCTTACCTAGCTTTGAACTTGAATAGCAAAGTTAAGGTACTCATTAAAAATAACATCTATGGACAGATAGAGTGGAAGGCTCTGATCTTTATCAGATTGATAAATCAAAGGGCGTTCCTCCATCGTTGTCTTGTGTTATTCCTGATGCAGAAATGCACAGATATCTTATTGAACCGTTCTCAGCAGCTCTTCTCAAGTTGCACAGCCAAGTTTGCAGATGGTCAACAGTGCTCTGTGCCAGTTTTTGACATTACACATCAGACACCTCTGTGCGAAGAACATGCCAAAAAAATGGTAAGTACAAAGCCAAAACTGTATTTATTTATGTATTGGGATGATCAGGAGTTTTAACCCCAGTCTTCCTACGCACTCTTCCTTGACAATTAGCAAGGTGATGAACTTAAGAGCTTGTATCCTATTATTTTTCTTAAGAGGGCAAAACATGCCAAACATTCCCATTATAAAGTATGTTGTGAAAATCTTTTCCATAGTTTTAAGGATATAATAAAGTGTGCATGAGAAAATCCTTCACTGGAAAAAAATTGAATTCCTCTCTTGAACTGAGAAATGGAAGATCATTGTGAGATCCCTTGGTCATTTTATTTGGGCTCAGTCTTGGTCCTTGGATCTGAGTGTGAGCATGGTATTAAGTCTGCAGCTTAAGCAGTCTCAGTACATGGGGCCCAAAATATTTTCTAGAGGAAATGTAGATAGCAATTACAAGCATGCAGATAATGGTTTTGCTACTTTATTTACCTTCCAGTAACTATTAGATTTATCTTTAACCTCCTTCAGGGATCAGTGGCCTACCTCAAGTTCAGAGAATGCAGAAATTAAGTTGATGTCCTCTGCTCTCCTTTTATGCCTTCTATTTTCCAGAAAAAACCTTAAGGATAATTCACAAACCTGCTTCTGTCTTGTCCCTCCTTCAAGGTGTCTTGTCTCACTTCAATTAGGTGTAAAACTGCCTTTGTTTGTTTGTTTGTTGGGGGTTTTTTATGTTGTTGGGTTATAGTGTGGGTTTTGTTATTGCTTTTGTCCAGGCTCTCCAATAGTTGTAAGTTATGAAGTTTTTTGGATTAAAATGTGAGAATTTGTGCTACGCAGATTTGTATGGGATTTTCCCCCTCTTCTAGGCAATCTTTCATGTCTCAAGGTTTACTTCTGTAGCAAATACAGTCCTCTGCCATTCCCAGTATGATGGCAACTAAAGAGTGATGATGGTTTGATTTATTTTTTAATGGGTCAGCGATTGCTGTTCAGAAGCAATGAGGCCACAGTTGTTTACCCACATCCTTACCCGAGTCCAACAGTATTAATTCTGTTTCCTCAATGCTGTCCCTCTGTTATGGCAGGGGACACTTGAAGATCCTGGCTTCAGCTGCTGCAGACTATCTGCGTTAACACGAACTCATAATAGTGTTTGGTCTTTAATACTTACAAGAGTGCTGCTAAGGGTTACAGTTTCACACTAGTTTAGTTAGGTTTTGCTATGACAATTTTTAAACTGATACTGCATGTGTGATAAATCTCCTGTTTAGCATACCTCATAATTTGGTCTGTGTTATTTTTGCCATTGGGATCAATGGGGAAGGAAGCAGATCAAGTTTTGTAGCCATGCCTGGGTGTAAGTTAGCAGTCTCTCTTACATTACATGTGAATGTCTGTGGAATGGCCAGGGTGAAAAAAGCAAGGAAAGTAACACTTGTTCTCAATATGCTCTCATTGCTATTGTTTTGCTCCCAAAGGATAATTTCTTGAGAGGAGACAGCTCCCGTAAAGTTCAGCACCAGCAGCAGAGGAAACCCAGGAAAAAAACGAAGCCACCTGCACTTACCAAAAAACACAAGAAGAAGAGAAGGCGAGGCCCACGCCGGCCCCAGAAACCCATTCCTCCTGCAGTGCCCCAAGGGAACCTCACCATGCCTGCCAGTGTCTCACTGCCAGTAGAGATACCCCACATACGGTCAGTGGTAGGCCTGCCCCAGTTTCCCACTGTTGGCCTGAATGTTGTCCGTGAGCACTGGAGAAAGGTGTGATTTTGCTGTGCTGATCAGCATCTGGAGCAGGGCTAGAAATTGCATCTCCATTGACTGTTGAAAAAAAACTTCAGAGTGGGTCATTTTGGATTTGAGCAATGATTGGGTTTGATGGATAAAATATTTTGACCCTGATGTCACATCTTATGTACTTAGTGAGTAGGCTAAGCTTCCTAAAGAAACTTCCTAAATGCATTTTTTCCAAGATGGGGTAAAAAAATATGGGGAATCATCCCCATCTAGATGGATATGCATTCATAGTTGTCTTTTGGAGGAACCAGAGCTGAACAGCAAGGACTAATGTTACTTTCTGTTCAGGAGCCCCTCCACACCAGAGCTGAGTGCTGATGAGCTGCCTGATGATATCGCCAACGAAATCACAGACATTCCACATGACTTGGAATTGAATCAGGAGGACTTCTCTGATGTCCTGCCGCGGCTGCCTGATGACTTGCAAGATTTTGATTTCTTTGAAGGTACCATTTTATTTTATGCTAGCATGAACACAGTCAGTGAACTGAAGAAGTCAGTGTTTCTAAACTGCATTTTGGGGAGTTGCTTGCTTTCTTACAGAGTTATAAATTCTAGAGAAGGAAGTGTGCATTTATCTATTGGTTGTGAGCTCTGAAGTAAAGCAGACTTTAAGAAGGCTGTGTATAGTTCTCTGCTTGCTCATATAATTACTACTTTGAAAATCCTAATTAGTTTAGTATTTTAATAATTCATTTTACATTTTTACTGCCTGTCAGTCTTACAGTTTAATCAACAGTATTCACAGTAATGGCATCTTTCTGCCATTGAGTGGGGCTGGAATCACAGTCAATATTGGCCTTTGATAAAAAGAGAAGAGAGTGAGAATAAAATTTTTAAATACGTTTCTGAAACTAGTTCTTCATCAGAACTGTGCCTGAATTTCTGCGTTCAAAAGCTCAGTACCTATCACATATAACACAGAAATTAGAACAGCCTGGAGTTGGGTACGTGATTTCTTTGGTCGTTTTCTGATATAACATGACATCAGACTGTGTTTGAGTTGATATTAACCTAAATTATACTGTCTGTGTAAATTTTAGGTCCAGGCTGTAATATTGGTAAGTAGAAGGGGGGTTGTGGACTATTTGTGTTATTGCAGCATTGAAGAAAATCTTTCTAGACCTAGAGTAAAAATGCTTACATAAGTTTAAGAGGCATCTCCCATTGTAGTATGTGGAAAAGGACGGTGGAGAGGGGGAGTTCCATTGAAGAGGAAGGTGTAATTTCTCGGTTTTCTTACCTTGTTTACCTAGTGAAGACTGATGAATGATATTTTCTGTGTACTGCAAGCCATGCTGGAAGGTTATCATACACTGCAGCTCTGTACTGCCCTGTCTGTACATCTGCATCCTTAGAGTGCCAGTGCCAGGCTCACCTGAGAGGTGAGTGCTAACTCATGGTGTCCCTGTTTCTACAGGTAAAAATGGAGATCTCCTTCCAACTACAGAAGAGGCTGAAGAACTGGAACGAGCCCTACAGGCTGTAACTTCTCTTGAGTGCCTGAGTACCATTGGAGTACTTACACAGACAGATGGTGTGCCAGTTCAGGAGCTGTCAGATAGAGCGATAGGGGTGTTCTCTACAGGTGCTGGAGCTCCAGGAATGCAGTCCTTGAGTCGAGAGGTTAACACGGATCTGGGGGAGCTGTTGAATGGGCGTATAGTACATGATAATTTCTCCGGTCTGGAGCTGGATGAGAACTTGCTCCGTTCTGCTACCTTGTCCAACCCACCTACGCCCCTGGCAGGGCAGATCCAGGGGCAGTTCTCAGCCCCAGCCAACGTTGGCCTTACTTCTGCCACTCTGATAAGCCAGAGTGGCCTTGGGGAGAGAGCCTTCCCGGGACAGTTTCATGGACTTCATGATGGCAGCCATGCCTCCCAGAGGCCCCACCCTGCCCAGCTGCTGAGCAAGGCAGATGACCTGATCACCTCACGACAGCAATACAGCAGTGACCATTCACACTCCTCACCCCATGGAAGCCATTATGATAGTGAGCATGTGCCGTCTCCCTACAGTGACCATATCACATCCCCTCACACCACATCCTTCTCTGGTGATAATTTGGCAGCTACCTTCTCAGCAGAGATGCCCATGATGGCACAGCACTTGCTCCCAACTCAGCTGGATGTGCCACTTAGCGGGGTGGTCAACCCCAGAACTCACTGGGGAAATCTTCCTGTCAATCTTGGGGACCCCTCTCCGTTTAGCAACCTTCTTGGTGCAGATGGACACCTCCTGTCCACCTCCCTGTCCACACCACCTACCACCTCGCACTCAGAGACCACACAGCCTGCCTTCGCCACTGTGACCCCCAACAGCTCCACTGTGCTTCCGGGGTTACCGCAGACCAGTTTTAGTGGCATGGGTCCTGCCTCTGCTGAACTCATGGGCTCCACCTCCCCTAAACAACAGCTCCCTCAGTTCAGCGCAGCCTTTGGGCACCAGCTGAGCTCCCACAGTGGCATTCCCAAGGACCTGCAGCCCAGCCACAGCTCCATAGCTCCTCCCACGGGCTTCGCAGTGACCGGTGCCACCGCTACCAGTACCAATAACGCATCCGCGCCCTTCACCACCTCCAACTGAGCTTGTCTGCCTGGCTCCATGCAGGTAGATGGGGGACCTGTATTTTCTATCTTTTCTTTTTTCCTTTTTCTTTATTTTTTTCTGTCCTCTCTTCCTTCCCTGTTTTTTAAGAGGGGGTTGAGAAGAAAACCCCTGCTTCAGTACTGACCAGGGTTAGCCCTCTGTGAACCTTGCTGTAGCGTTCACATGTGCTTGTTATGCACTGGTGCTCATTTATTGCAGGCAGGTTCACCGTTCCCCAATAATTCCTTAAGGATACAGCACAGTTACTGGATGTAATTGATCTTAGCAGTAAGACCTAGAAATGGGAAGATACCTCAGATCATTGATGCATTTTACTGTTCCCTAGGGTTCAGATCAGTGCTTGCTATCCCATTAGCATCTGGTAGAAAGTTTTCCAGTGGGAAGAAGTCTCTTGTTTTATTTATTTTATTTTTAATTTACTTTTTTTCCAAAGGTAGCATCTGGCATGGAAAACTTGGCTGCACACATTGATTTGAAAATGGTGCGCTGAAGTCCTAAATCAAGATCATGGTTCAAGGATGAGTTTGGCAGTTTCTTAAAATAGTCTCTTGACCTTCTCTGTGTGCGTGTGTATGTTTGGGGTGCAGGGAGCAGAATTCCTTTTCTTCTTTTGGTGAAGAAGTGGGAGTTGTCCCCTTCCAGAACTGGTCACTGTTCTTATTGCATGCTGATTTGGGGTTTTTTTTATTATCATGATTTGTAATTAATTGAGTAGCAAAGGGATCAGTTGACTGGTTGCCCATCAGTTTGAAGGCTGATATGAAGATAGCCCAGGGAAAAAAAAAGAAACAGGATTGAAATAGACCATGGATTCCTGAAGATTCCTGTGCAGAAGTTCCCTTCCTTGCTGAATTACTGTGGCCTTGTAGCATTGACGATTTGCCTTTTCAATTGTGTCTTTGTCCAGAACTCTTTGCCTGACAGGCTAACAGGTATTGCCCAGCTGAAACCGGAAGAATTTGGTTGGTATTCTCCCTGTCCACACAAGTCTAGGTCAGACCCTTTGCAAGTTTCAAATGGATGCATTTCTCAAAATCTGTCTAGCTAGTGAGACTTCCTTGGATAGTTTTTAATCCCCTGAGAGCCATATAGTTTTTTTGACATGTGTAGGATTTGATCCTCTGTTTGGGAAGCTGAATGTATGTAAGGAACTAGCAGGTACCTATCAGCAGTCATGGCTAACCAAAAGAGAAATCACTAAAGCAAAATGGGTAAGAATTCCTTCTGTCTGCAGGATGGTTTTGTTTGTACTGATCACCTGCTAAAGATAGTATTCAGACTCTTTGGTAGTAATTTCAGTTCCTAAAGAAAGGAATCAGCTAGGTTTTAGAATTTTTTAAAATTAATTTTATTTTTTAATTTTACCTTTTTTAAACCAAGAGATAACAACAGCAGAAATTCTGAGGTGTTTACTTGCATCTTCTTATCAAGAAGGAGACAAAGGACTTTGCTTGTGACTCTGTAGGACTCAAATTTGCTACTGTACTCTGACTTTGACTGTAAAAGTAGCTCTTATTTAATATAACAAATCTCTACTCTTAGTTTGTTTCTGAGATGCAGATGAGAGAAAATAGAATATTCTTCATTTCAGCCTTTTACTGTAGAAGACGGATTTCATTCTACCTTACAGGAAAAAGTCCTACCTACATGTATTGTAGTCTATTTCAGGAAATTAAGAGATAACCAAGCACATGTAATAGGGAAGCCTAATAAATTTTTGGAGCAAAGGATCATTGACCGAAGTTTAGTTGCTATAGAAATTCATTTTATTAGCAGTCAGGCACACACCAAAATCTCTGACCCAAACCTCTCCTTCCATCTTCCTAAGGAACAGAATTTAAATGGGATAGGTCTTGTGTCTTACTATTGTAGCAATCATACTATCCATCTTTTCTTGAAAGATCTCTCCTCTTTAAATATAAAAGAGCGTGGATGATGCATATGTCCTTTTCTGAAATTGCAAGTGTATGTGGGTGGAGGAAACAAAAACTATTTTCATGCTTCTGTTGTTATGAAGTCATTATTTCATACTTGGTAATATAGATCTGAATAATATAAGCTGAATATTTTTAAGTGGTGATTTAAATATGTTTGTAACATTTAAATGTTTTTAAATCACATAAAAAGTTTAATTGAAGCCTATGAAATCCTGCTTGTGATTGTCCTGCTGATTGAGGAATTGTGAATGAGGCAAATCTGATAAGGCTTTTATTTATTTTTGTGTTATGTTACCCATACTTTGTTGAGGAGACAACTGCTTGATTTGCAAATGATTTTTGTTGTGTCCATATACCTTCTTCAGTTTGTTCAGATGACTGAAAAAGAGTGGAGATCTAGTATACCAAATAGTTTATTCTTTAATCTTTTTGTGCATTCACATAATTTTAGAGGGTGTCAATTCCTGTACATTGGTTTCAGGATTTTGGTCTTGAAATGGTTCTTGTGCCCATCAAACTAGTTCAGAGTATATTTGCCCCACATCACATTTCCCTTTCTTAGAAAATGCTGCGGGGAAAGGGAGGAGAGGAACTGAGTGCAAACTTCTCCTTGGTCTCATTGGTATAAAATACAAAGGAGCTTTTTCATCTAAGGTCACCTTGAGTTTGTACTGATCTAACTCAGAACAGAACCCAGCTCCTGATCTATGTGTTGATCTAGACGGGAATTTCAAAAGCTGTCAGAGGTATGCAGGTCCACAATTCCCATTTGAAATCAATGGCCTTTATGTACCTGCATTTCTATAAAGTAGCCTAGGATATCAACTCTCTTCCCCCACATAGATTTCCATTTCTGTATATCCCTTGATGACTCTTCAAAAGTGACTGCATAACATTTTTCAATGAGCAAACTAAGTTTGCAATAAAGCTGCACTTTTAAAAATAAATTTCAGTTTGTATACATTTGAAATAGGAATCCCTCTGTCCTGTTTGACGCAGTGTTCTGAAATGGGCCACCACTCTTGCCTTTTTCTGGTTCACCTCTCATTTTTTCAATGCCACCAATGTCACGGTTACAGCCTAACAAGCAGTTACGGGTCTTGATCTTAGCTTTACAAGGTGGATCATTCCAGGTGGGCTTCTACACCCACACAGCCTGTTGACTTCAGTGCATCAGTGTCTTACTGTTGGATGCAAGAGATCCATTTGAGGGATATGTGCAGTCAGAGATGTTTCATATCTCTTCCTCTGGGAAATACTGCACATCTGGTTAAGGTAGTCCTTGAGGCTGTTACTTATGTGGTTCCCAAGTAGAATCTATGCTCCCTCACAAAGGTTTTTGAGTATCAGCTCTTACAGCAATTAGCACTCTCATCACACTTTCACCAAAGAGCCAGTGTAGCAATTTCAGTTCATTGATTTGAGATGCTTAATACCTGTTGTGCCCTTTACATGTTAACAAATGGAATAAGTCTAGTTGAACCTAAAGGTCAATTTCTTTACATAAGATTTGAGTTTTAAAGAACTGAAAAAAAATTAGACATAGAATAGAATATGTAACATCACTTTTGGCAATAATAGCACCTCAATTAGTCTTTGTACAGAAGTACTTAACCCAGGATGAATTTTAGCAGTGTATGGAGGCTTATCAGGAACAGCTTCATGCTGGCCTGGTGTTTAAGGCATTCTTTACCATACGCTTTGACGTTTTCTTTCACCTGGGAAGACTTTACACCAACTCTGAGGGGAGCCATACGTGCTTAGATAGCTCAAAACTGATTTGTTCTTTGCCCTCATAATTATTATGATACAAGATGATGTATGTGTGATGCAAGAAGATGGAAAAGATGCGTAATTTTGTTTCCTCCTGCCTTCCAGTTCCTCCAGGTTCTTGCTTAGATCCATTCTTGTTATAGTAGCATGCTTCTCCCTATGGTTGAGCACATTGATAATGCTAAGAGGTAGCACAGTTGCAGGTCTGCCTCAGGTACTGTGGAGAAGATGGCAAGAGCTAGGTTTCCCACTGAAAATGGGGATTTGCAGTTCTCATTCGGAAAGCATTGGAAAGCCCTGAGAATCTTATCACCTGCTAGTCAAAAATCGGAAAAAATCTCTCAACAACTCTCTCTCAAAGGAAAGTTGTACTAGTAGCAAAGAGAAGCTAAGGGAAGTGGCTTTTTAATTTTTAATTATTTTTTTGAAGAGAAACATGACTATTGGGACATTCTGTTGTGAGCATGGTGTGATGCCACTGGCTTTAGGCGTCAAGACAAAAAGCCTAGGATTGAACCTGCAAACCAGTAGCCAAATTCAGTTCGAAGCTTTGTTTTGCTGTAACCACATCTAAATATAGTCTGGGATTGAATCTGGTTGCTAGAAGAGTCCTACAAAAGTGTACAATAAACACTGGATAGATGTCTTCCCTGAGAAGCTGGCCCTAGTGGCTACCTACACTGCTTTTGAACACCAGCTCCCTGAGCTCCTGCAGCCTCTTCGTTGCTGCATTTCCCTGTAGGTATTGGCAGGCCTCCAAGGGTATTTCTCCCTATCTTTGTGCTGCATTGAGCTAAATCCACTCATGAATTCTCCAACAGTATGAGCCTTTGAGCAGAGAAGAGGGAAGCCTTTTTAGAAGATCCAGGTACCTGTAGTTGGACCTTTCAAGGCTTGCGGGGCGCAGAGACAGTGGCAGGAGGTGCTTTCAGCAGACAAACAATATTAAAATTACCTGCAGTCATTTTCTGCAGTGAGATGTTTGTGTGGCTGTCTGGGCAGCTTCCCTGGTGGAACTGGTGTATTTTTGCTTTTGTATTTTTACATGTGAAGGAGTCTCCTGTGCAAGGTCCAGTGGTGGTAGAAACAGCAACTGAAGGAATAGTTTTGGGCTAATGTGCTGACCAGATCTTTAGGTCTTTCTCATCTGATCACAAGGTCTTTCTGATCTTTTGGGTAACATTTAATAAGGGGAATTTGTACTTCTTGTACCCCCTTTATTTCCTTTCACTCAACATTCTTCATCATTCTTGCTTCTATTTTCCTATTCTCAGACACTTCTCCAGTGTAAGTGCCAACTGGTAAGTCTTCCATAGTTCTAAGTGAATCTGACTGTAAAATGAAAGGGAGGAGAGATTACTGCAATTCATAACATACGTTTTGGATGCTAGAATGACAGTGCAGTAGATCAAAGTATTTCTCAGATCAATGAGTAAGGAGATGTTTCACAGCACACTAATATGTCATGAACTAGATGCTGAGGATATACAACATTGATCATGGGAGTGCACACACTAGCAGTGAATATACAGGTACTTTTAGCAAGAGTTTACCTTCTCAGAAGTTCCTCTTCTTTTGAGAAGTGTGTCAGTAGAAAGTCACAAAGAAAAATTAAAATTATTCTTTCTTAATACGCACAAGCCCAAATAAAAGTAAGGAGGGTTGGTGAAAAAAATCTATACATTTACTAAACTTAAACTTGGACTTTAGGGGAAGTCTGGTCATGAGAGACCTTAGCTCTTGTCGGGTAAAGTTTTCGTCTTGTCTTTAAAAGTAGACAAAAACACTGTTGTTGGGAAGAAAAGTTTGGTGGAGGAGAAGGAGTTAAAAAGATGCATCTTAAAACAATTTTCTCTCTCATGTCTTCAGCCTCTTTTTTAAAAAAAGCAACAACACAGTAGTGACTATTTTGGGAGCTTTTCCCTTTGCTGTTCTGGTACTTCTCATTGTTGTTGAGTTCTTTGCTTTCCCCTGTTTTACTCTGCATTCACGTAGTCCTTCTCTAGCTATTATGGAATAAGTTAATATAGTGGAAGCATGAAAGGAGAAAGTGGGTGTGGCTCTATGTTGAGAGCAATAGTTGGAGAAGGCTTTCTTTATATGTCTCCTTGAAGTAAGTGTTGGCACCTTTTCAGTCTACTCTAGGTCACAGAATTTGGTTTGGAAGTGAATAGGATGAAATTTGGGCTTTTGACCATAAAACTGTATTTACTCGCTGTAGAAAAACGCATTCTTCATACTCTTCCCCTTGCTAGTCCCCAAACACACACACAGCGAGATGTCCAGAGTGCCCGCGTGTCGACCACATAGGCATGTTGAACTTGGTCCAGTAATGCTAATGTTTAACCTGCTTTCTGTCGTTGTCAGCTGGTGCCCACGGAGATGAACTCGGGATAGGTAACGTTCCCAGATACCCTCTGGAAAACTTTAACTTTGGTGCAGATTGCTCTGATGTAGCTAACTGCGATGGCATTGGCTTCTACCTTGGAGTGGACTGATTTACCCTGAAATGACTCTCTAACCTGCATCTTAAACAGTGTAGTTGGTTCTGGTGCAAATAGATTAATTCTGAAGTGATGGACATTTTGATTCTCATGCAAAATAGCTACATCCTACCAGAAGGGGTTGAACCAGTTTCTCTGAACAGTGATGACCTTCACTGTACAGTTTTGGGTATGTCTCAGGGATTCCTTGTGGAAATAAGGGCAGTTAACAAAAAAAAAAAAAAAAAAAAAAAAAAAAAAAAAAAAAAAAAAAAAAAAAAAAAAAAAAAAAAAGGAAAAAAGTAAATAGTTTTAAAAGTAAATAATAATTTAAGGTAGAGCGTCACCTAAGTGAGAGCGCAAGAAGGAGAAATCTTTGTTCAGTTTTATAGTCAACGATGTCTGGCTTACGGACTCTTTCTCTTCTCGGGGCTCTCATCTCAAGTTCAACATACAGAATCTTTTTCATCACGCTCAGCTTTAAACTTTTTATTTAAAGATACCCTTCCCCAACAAGCTTTCAGAATACTTATTGTAGATTTTAAGAGAAATGGTATATTAATTTATGCTATTAACATCACCTCATAAATTATAAGTTTTATACTAAAGCTGTATTGAGTGTAATGAATTATGTTGCATATGTGTTTTTAATAGCTATAAAATTATATACAAGCTTTTTTGGAAAAACAAACTAGTGAAGCACCTTTTTACACTGGATCTTTGCCGTGTCAAGGTGTACAGCTATTCTTTGCTACCTTGCAGATATCTATATCTATATATAGATATATATATAAATAAAATAAAATGGTATCCTGTATCAACAAGTATAGAACTCTTTTTAACCCTTATATTACTGTTCCTATAACTCTTTTTAAAATTTGAGTGTTACATTCTGCAATAATTTATCCGTGGTTTGTACCTATGATTAGAAATTTAGTTACAGGGTAAATAGATCAAATTTTAAAGATCCAACTACTGTAGCTGGAAGTCGTGAACCAAGTTTGTAAGACCTTTTCTTTTTTTTAATGTATTTATTTCCAGTTAGCTCTGTGAGTTGGAATTTGAAAAGTTGGAACATTAGGAATCTACAGTGTCTTATTCAGGAATTTTCCCCCTCCTTTCCTCACAAAGGAATTCCCACTGTGACTTATAAATAGAATTAGACTGCTTGTGTGCATGTATGTATTATATATACACACAAAAAATATGCATTGGGGGGGATGTATGTGCGATACGAATGTGTATATTGTATGTAGGTCATAGTTTTGTAAAGAGAAAAGTAGTTGAGAGGTGATGGAATGTATTGTAGAAATGTGATTATTTAGTAGGGGGTTGTTATGTCCTCACTGTTGTATAAATAACTGAAACTCTCTACTATATAATCTTCTGTTATAAGGCTAACTCTGATATCATGTCAATTTTACTGTTTTTCAAATGAGTTGCATTGAGCCCTGTTTAAAATGCCATGAAAATACCAAGCTCCCAAAGACAGCCTTTAAATAAAACAAAGGGGGGATGAGGAATGATGGGAGAAATGAGTTTTTTGGGAGAAACTGAATGGGAAGGTTTGCATTTGGTGGGATGGGGAGGCATGAGAATTGCTGTATCTTTGCAAATTAATACCCGAATCTCCTGTGGTCTAACTTGGAAAATGTTGTCAATCAGTGTACTTGTGTTTTCCAATGAGGTTGTAAGGGGCACCGTTTGTGGAGTGGTCTCCATTCCATAAAAGGGTTTTGTCTTCAAAGTAGATATTTTTCTTTCATGAGGATCTTTGTGTATATCCATTTTGCCCCAAAATTGCTGTTGTGGGATTGCAGAACAAAAAAAAAAACCATGAAGTCCAGGGAGTTTCACTTGTGCTGTGAAATTCTAAATTTGATTGTGGCCACTTACCTGTTTTTTCATAATTGGAGAAGGAAGGTTTCTTTATGGGAGTTCTCACTTGAAATTGTGAGAAATGAGAAACATTCCTACAGATTGGCTTACTCTTCATACTGTTCTATTTAGGCTGGAGAAAATAACCTAATTGTTATTTATTCATAGAGTATCACTTGTAATTATGATGATCCTGGTGACTTTAAAAACCTGTTTAGAAAAACAGAGCTTCCAATACTGCACAGAAATTAGAAATTTTTTTCAATTTTTTTATATCCCCCCTCCCTATCATTTGTTGATACCCCCCAGACATCCCTCCCCCTTTCCTTCTCCCCACGATTTGTTTCTGGCACATATGCATACAGGCAAAAGGGCAGGGAGGTGGAAGTTGTCAGAGGCCTTTCCTTCTGCTTATTTGGTGGTAATGCGAATTGGGAGCATAAATCTTTATGCCTTTACGGGGAAGAATAGACCCATTTCTGTGTATACCTGTACAGAGAGATTATCTGTATATGAGACAATGGTAGCACTTGGCTGAATGTGGACTTGCCCTCATGATGTACAATAAATACATATGAATGCAATCAGTCTAAATCTATATATACGTGCATACAGATGTATAGATGGACTATACGTTGTGTCACACACATACATTAGTTGTAACGTGAGTCAGTGTGTGAGCTAAAGAGAGGGACTATCCACGTAACATATGTCTAACAGGTAAGCCCTTGTGCCAGATGAATTTTTGTTAATTCTTCTGAGGGACCTCGATGACTCAGTGACTGATCTGATCTTGGTCACCATTGGTTTGTGTTACCTCAGCCCTCACAGTGCAGTTTCCTTGGTACCTCTCTGCCTTTGTGTTATATTAAGACTTGTTGAGGCCTCTTGCAATGCCAACCTCTTCTGCTTCTCTGCTCCATTGCCTCCATTCCAGCTCCTCCTTGTCCCTGCATCTCTACAGTTTCTCTTGCTAGCAGCAATCAGCTTTAATGGCCCAATCCAGCTCTGCTTATGCATTAGGGAAATTTTCTTGGTGATTGTAGTGGCAGCTGAATTGGGCCCTGAGCACCTGCTTGAACTTATGCAAAATTTCCCAGCTATTCAGATGTGCTTTGGTACAACTGCGATTGATTTGCAGATGAATACAAACTTTTCATAGAACCTGATGCAAAGCTCCCTAGCATATTAAAAGGTTAACCCAGCATCATATTTAAATGGTCTAAATGAGAAAACCCTACCCAACAAAAATTATCTTTTCCAGTTTTCAGCCCCAGGAAGAAAAAGGGAGTTGGGTTTGTGTTTCCCATAACACAGGCAGTAAGCAGAAGGCAGCCCTGTGTTCTGAGCAGTGGGGTTGTCATCAGACATCAAGAGAAACACAGTTTGTTACACTTTACCATAAAACAGGTTTTAAAACGGTGTGCAGAGTTGACCATTAACATGCTAGCACTTTGCATCTCATTGTGTATTGGGTGATCTTGCTTATGCAAGTAAATTGTGGTTTTAAGTGTTTTATTTTCTGTTTTCTGGCTAAATGGAGCTTCTGTATCCTTTTAGCAGAAAGCAGCTGTCAGCAACCTGCTCAGTCACATTTAAGCGCTGTGTAACTTAGGCTTCAGTTTCAATGGAGAATGCTGCTCCAGTTCTGTCATCGAGCCATACTGGATTCCATGTTTTCAGGATGGCTATGACACAATTTTTCTTGGCCACAATTCAACCATGGAATTTTGTCTTCCTTGAATTTCTGTTAGGAAAAGGTAACTGGTGCACTGTTCCATCTGAGCTTTCATGCAGTCATACACAATGATTTCTATAATACATATGTTGGGGCGTGTGTATGGGTATGTCTGTGTTCTGGGTGTGTATAATGTATATTTATACACACACGTCTATTACGCTATTTCAGTTTATGTATGTGGAGAATGTACCTGTTGGTTATCTCCTGATATATACTCATGCATACGTATATTAAATATGTATATAGAGTGTAGATGTCCTGCATATACATATGTATATGTTATGAACCTTGGTTGGCAATTTTTTCCACACTTTTTTGCAAATTGCTGTCCCTTTATGACTTATTTTCACTGAAACTGCATTATATAGAAGATATGGAGAAATGTGTTATCAAAGTTTTATTTTAAAAAGGAGACTTTTAATTATCTAAAGCCATTTGTAATTGTCTTTTGAATTTTTACTAGAAGGGTTGTTAGTTTAAAAAAGAAAAAGAAAAAAAAGAGAAAAAAAAAACAAAAGCAAGCAGACAAGCCCTTAGTCCCACCGTCGTTTAGATGGACCTAAGAAAGAAATGGAAACACAAGTTTTTAAGTATTTTCTTCAGGTGTTTCTGAGGCATACTGTAGTCGCATTCTGCCCCATCCCCCTTTTATCCAATTATAATTAATGATTCA